TTAATTTTTATGTACGTGTGTGCCGTAAAGGTGTTAGAAAGTTTATTGAAAGGATGTTATGTGTGTTTGTGTTATTAGTGCTGTTTTTGTTTTTTTCTTTCTCCCTCGCTCTGTTTTCCCATATCTGCTTTCATTATTCTCAGGTTCCGTTTACTGGTCTATTCAGCTGTCCATCATTTCCTCCCCGGTTACGTCACGACTACGTCAAAGCCAATAAGCAAAACCACCCGTCATAAAAGCGCGCGCCAGACCCCTCACCGGCCCTACACTTTTCTTTTTCCTCTTGTTTGTGTTTATTGCGTTGCGTTACAAATGACCCCTGTCTGTGTATTTTGTTGTTGCCCATTTCTGTGTGCACTTTATGCGTCCGATATCTCATTCCATTTTCTCAGTTTACGAGGTTTGGATGAACCAGACAGGTAAGAAGGTCACGTGACATACATATTGCAACACCTATGACTACTCTTCTGTATAGAACATTAGGTTAGGGGCGAGCGCCACCCCTTGTAACCCTTGACAGACAAACAGACAGACAGATAGACAGATATCTAGACAGATAGACAGATAGATAGATAGATAGATAGATAGATAGATAGATAGATAGATAGATAGATAGATAGATAGATAGATAGATAGATAGATAGATAGATAGATAGATAGATAGATAGGACTTGGAAGACTCTTCAGTGGTGAAAATTATTTTGTTTTCACATCGTTAGTTAGTTAGATGCTTCTGGGAAGTTAGATTTAGTTTGGGTTTTGTTCTTTTCATTTATTTAGCGCCGCCTGCATCCTTTAGGCCAGCTCTCCTGTTTTCTCCACGTCTTTGTTTTTGTCTCAGTGTTGTATACATTGTAAATAGTATCTTTTTGCCTTATTTACTTTCTTTATTTTGATTAATTCGTTGTTTTTGTTCACATTATGGTATTGTGAATAAAGTCACATATTTTTGGTATCTACTTTGGCAGTCTTTATCACTTATTCACTATTTGTATAAATTTATTTTAATTGCACATAAAAGTCAAACACCATTCCCTACGAACATCAGGGGTTTGTAACAGGCCCGTATTTATTTTTGATTTACGTGAGTGCCATAAAGGTGTCAGAAAGTTTAACCTGGTGCCATATAATTAATGTGCTCAGGATCACCCCAGGGGTCACAAAAAAAGGGGTTTTATTTGCATGTTGTTGTTTTTTATGTAACTATTAACTACTTTTTTTTCTTCTGTAGGTTATGGATAAAATATGGTCACTCTAATAGTTTAATAAATTGAATTTGATTTTTGGAATTTAGCAAGCATTATCATTGTCTCACGACCCCACGGGGGGTCCCGACAATTAAAGAACTGCTTTGTTTTACTTATGTTAATCTTATGTTTTAAACAACTCTCTTAAACACATTTTCAGGGTTATCTTGTTCTAAAATAACCACAAAATGACAAAATAAAAACAAAATGACAAAACCTAAAATGAATTCATTATATCTATAAAAATATCAATATGTCAATGATATTAAAATAATTCCACAGTGCAATGAAAATGCATGGCGGAGATGCTTAAAACTAAGACAAAAGGTGTGTGAAAACTAACTACAGTATCTCTAATAGCGCGAATAAACCAGGCAGCACACACATCAACTCTCAAACTCAAATGTAGAGGGCTTTAATCAATGACTTGTTGAGATACATAGAAAAATAACAGAGGAGGTGTTTGTTGTTGTTCATAGTTCAGATATAACAGCACGTTCCACCTTCAACCATCTCATCACAAAATGCTACTCCATCTACAAACTACAAACACTTTCATTGAAGACAAACCATTAACTGCTCGACTGACTGCACACTTTTGAATTGACTCACCCTACAGACATTCTCATTTGATGCTCGTTTTTTTTGTCTTATTTCTCAACACTACACTCTACTAATGCAACATCAACATCACGTTTCCTGTGAAGTCCAGCCCCGCCCGGCCGTCATAGCTACACCATTACAATATAAAAGTAGTAAAAACAGTTTTGTTGTTGGGTCTTATCAAATGACAGTTAAAAACACAAGTGTCGGGTTATACAGCATACTGATGTCTTCTGAGGTGAAAAATATGCTTGAGCGTAGCTACATATTTGACAGGTTCAAAGTCACGATGAGGCTCTGTTTACGTCTGATATTAAGATGCATTTTGTGGTTATAAAAGCAAAACTGAAACTCTTCATATTGTTTTCCATTGTCTTATTTAGGGATTATATTTAAATTGAGCAAGCTTATAGCCAATGTTTTTATTTAAACTCTTTATTTAAAAAAAATTCTGGAAAGTGGTTGAATGTAGACAAGAGAGATGAATTAAGACATTTATCTCATCTCTCTCAGATACCTGTGATCTGATTGATCGAACAGCATTTAAATACTAAGATTAAACAGGGCCAAAATGTGTATTAAATGTTTAATCTGTGAACATTTTTTTTAATTGCAAAAAACACTTTTTTTCTTCTTCTTCTAGTCCAAATACTTAAACTTTCTTACATCAAGAAGCCCTTTTTAAACAAGCAAAATGCATAGTCTTGTTTTAAGAAATAATATGCCAACATTGAGTTTTTCCTTCAAACAAGCAAAATAATCTGCCAGTTGGTTAAGACAAATAATCTTATGTCAAAAGAAAAAACAAGGTTATTTCTCTTACCCCACTGGCAGATTATTTAGCTTATTTAAGGAAAAAGTCACTTAATTTTGGCATATTATTTCTTAAAACAAGACAATATTTTGTTGCGTGTATAAATGCTTCTGGATTAGGAATTTTTAAATATTTACACTAGAAACAAGACTAAAATATGCTGCATAATGCAAGTAGAAGTTATAGTAAATGTGATTTCATGTCGATTTTAAACTGTTAGTACAAAGACTCTTGTGTATGTGTGTGTATTTGCATTAACACTAGCATTAACAAGTCTGAGGTTTGGTAAGTTTTTTTGTGTTTTTGAACAAAAAAATGCATCTCTTTGATCAAAAAATAAAATGTTGTGGTAAAAATGTTGAAAAATAATCACAATATTTCTATTTGAATATATTTTAACATGTATTTTCGTCCCTGTGACACAAAGCTGAATGTACTGCAGTATTCAGTCACGTGATTATTTTAGAAATCATTTTATTTTACTAATTTGCAGCTAAAACATTTTGTATTATCACTGCTAAATGCAGTTCAAAAGAGTTCAAAAGTATCTGAAATAGCAATCTTTTCTATATACTTTTTAACATACTTTTTGATAAATTGAATGCATCCATAATAATTCAAATGATTAAAGGAATAATTCACCTGCAAAATCAAAATGAACCATTTACTTAGGCTCAAGTACATCCAAACCTTTATGATAGAAACCTTTCTTTTTTCTGTTTCACTTTATATTAAGTGTACTTACACAGAAATTAATAACAACAATTTACTTATTGTGTGAATACATATTTTTGCATTGTACTTATGCTTGATTAAATACCTGCATGCAATTACATCTGTAATCAATTTCTGTAATTACATTTTTAATTACACTGTTGACCACCCCTTACACCTTAATCCACCCTTAAACTTATCCATACCACCACAACTGTCCATAACCTGACCTGTATCCCATCACAAGTGTTCTCAAATACATTATGAACACAGTAAGTACATTTGTTTTTTGTTTATTGTTGTGAAGTATTTATTTTTTGTAAGTAGTTAGAGTATTTACTTAGTTAAAAGTATTTTTTAATGCAAGTACATAGTAGGTAAGGACACTTAATATAAAGTGGGATCCTTTTTTCCAACCCAGGCTTATTCTGAAAACGTACACTGTAAAAATATATATATTCAGTTAGTCCTGACAGCATTTGTTTTTAGGTCATAGTAACTTATCAAACTAAGGTTATCATGTTCTAACTTAATTTGAAAAGTTATGCAACCTGTTTTAAGTCAGTTTAACATAGTATAAGCTCAATGGACTCGTAAGGTTAATTTGATTCAGCTTAAAAATATAAGACAACCAGGATTTTTTACAATGTATCCCTATATACATTACTGAAGAACGCCAAATATGTTCCAGGAGAAATGTTTTTGTTGCAGTTTTTGCTTTTGTGAATCTACCAGAAGCCGCTATATATGCTTTTTTAGATTTCTCTCACGAGTGCCATTCTTGCATAAATCCACCAGAGGCCACTGTCGACTGACTGACTGACCAACCGACTAGATAACCCCACCCACCCCCTTCCCTAAACTCAAGCGATAATGTTTTCAAAAGCACATATTGACCCACCCACCCACCTCCTTCCCTAAACCCAACCGATAGTGTTTTTAAAAGCACATAATGACCCACCCACCCGCCTCCTTCCCTAAACCCAACCGAAAGTGTTTTCAAAAGCACATATTGACCCACCCACCCACCTCCTTCCCTAAACCCAACCGATAGTGTTTTCAAAAGCACATAATGACCCACCCACCCACCTCCTTCCCTAAACCCAACCGATAGTGTTTTCAAAAGCGCATATTGACCCACCCACTTTAATAAACCCAACCGAAAAAGTTTTGAAAAGCAATCCAGAAAAAAGAAATGCCTTTGCCTGATTTTTTACCATTTTTCTCACCCTGCTATTTACTTGTTTATTTTCTGTTTTGGCTTTTGTTTTTATCTTACCCACTTTCTAGAACTGTTCTACGCCAGACTCAAATCCTGTCATCGCGTTCAGCTCTTCTCAAGTCTGCCGACATATGCTGCAAGCCACTGGACATACTGATAACAGTGGGAAAGTCGTCCATACAAGCGTAAGCGGTCAGCTGCTAGCACGAAAAGGAAAGGGGTCATATTGCCCAGTAGTATTAGTTTTAAAGACGAAATGCTGCCATACGTACTTCTGGCTACATAATTTGTGATCTCCAAAAATGTATATAGGGGTACGTTTTCAGAATGTTGCTTTTTTCTATTAAACACAAGCACAAAAGAGATATTCTGAAAAATGTTGTAACCTGTAGCCATTGACATCCATAGTAGGAAATAAAAAAGAAAGTCATTAGAAACCAGTTTCCAAAATTATTCAAAATATATGTGCAATAGAAGAAAACCCTAAAACAAGTAGAGGTTCAGTTTTAGGTGAACTATCCCTTTGATTTATTTTATATAACAGAAAAAAAATGAATGTTACCCAAAACGTTTAACCTGTAGCACACTTGTAATGAAAACCCAAAACAAAAAGTGAACATTACTTTAAAATGTACAGCACGTTTCTCACATTACTATTATACTCACGTTAGGGTGACTGACAGTGAATGAGGTGAAGGGAGGGGCCACAATCTGAAGAACGGGAGTCATGTGACACAGTGTTATCTGATTGGTTGAGGTTGAAGTGGGCGGGGCAGAGCGAGCAGGATCACTTGGCATTGGCCGAGGAGCTGAGCATCTTCCGCACCATCTGAGTGATGGAGTCGCGGTCAATGCCGTAGATTTTCAGCAGGTCGTTCATTTTGCCGCTTCGGGGAACTTGAGCGACTGCCAGACGCTGGAAAGTGAAGCCAGGCTCATTGACAATAGCGGAGCACACCGCTTCCCCTAGGCCACCTGTGGAATTACAGCGGAAATTACATTTATGGCAAGTCACTGAAATAAGTGTTGTGGAAAACATTTGTGGTGCTAAAAAATATCACAGTGACGAGTTGCATTTAGGATGTTTTTTCTTGTTAGTGTTAAAAAAAAAACACATCACCCCTAAAGCACACACACACACATACAGGTTTGTTTTTGTGAATTGTGGGGCCAATACAGTGACAAGTTTTATTTACCATGTTTCTTTTTGTTATTGTTGAAAAAAAAAACATCATTCCTAAAAAAACACACACAGGTTTGTTTTTGTGAATTATAGGGACATTACAGTAAACAGTCCTTTTTGTCATGTTTTTGCTTGTTATTGTTGAAAAAAAATATCACCCCTAAAGCACACACACACATACAATGTTTCTTGTGAATTGTGGGGACATTACACAATACATATTACAATGGTGGGTTTTATATTGTACAAACTGTATATTCTAGCCCCCCAAACCAACTCTCACAGGAAACTATGTACAGTTTTACTTTCTGTAAAACAATTATTCTGCTTTAAGCTTTTAGAGAAATGAGGACATCAGCAATGTCCTCATAATTCACCACTTTCTTGTAATACCTGTGTAATACTTATGTCGTTATACAGATATGTGTTGTGATATGTCACAATAGCATGTACACACACTGACACAAATATATCCTGCTCAGTATTTATGTGGAAACCAGCAGTTTTTTCAGGATCCTTTAACAAAGTAAAATAAGAAAGGAACAGATTTTGTTTTACTTATTTATTTTTTGTAACATTACATTTGTCTTCATTCTCACCTTTGATAAGTATTTTTAATGTATATTTTAAATATTTTACTGGGGTTATTTTAGAATTATCACAACCCAGGCACGTTACGGATACGTACCCAGGTCTACATTTCTGGGGACATCAAAATACAAAACCGCAGGTAAGTCTGCTCGCAGTTTTTGTTTTTGCAAATCCACCGGGGGCCACTTTATACACTTTTTGATGATCTCAAATTTCTCTTGCGGGTCCTCTTCTCGTGTTAATCCAGCAGAGGGCGCAATATACACTTCAGCCGACCAGGCCAGCTTCCTGTCGACTGACTGACTGACCTATCAACCCCCTTCCAGGGCTCGAAATTAACTTTTTTTACTTGGTAGCACCGGTGCTCCCAACTTCAAATATTTAGGAGCACCAAAAAAATTTTAGGAGCACCAGAAAAAATTTAGGAGCACCCACCAAAAATGAATGAGCACCGCTGAAAATAGTTTTTTAAGGGATTTATTGTATTTTAAAACAACATCAATAGGACTGACTAATAATTAGGCTATAGAATATTAGTGATGATGAAAATGACAATAATAGTAACAATGAATTACATTTTTCATTATGATGCTGCCTTGAATGTGCATGAATGTAGGTTATCTGCTATAAAAAGTCTGTTACTTTATGAAAAATAATTGTATAGTTTGCATCAAACAAAAATGAAGCATTGCAGTAAGAAATATTTATTTTGTACTGCTGTTTTTATATGCATGTCAATTTAATAAATAATATTTCTGCTACAAAACAAACAATAGATTATAATAAATCATTCAATTCAATGATGAAAGCTGCAAAGCAGTCATTGGTAAATAAATAAAAAAATAATATACACCTCAAAAAAGAATAGACGAAAGAAAAGTAAGTAAAGTCTCACTTCTATCACTCTTTAAAAGTTTTGGTTTCAGTTTGTGTCAATTTAAAGGTTCAGTCTGAGATGATCTTCATTTTTCTGTGTTAGTGGAAAAGCTGGCGAGTCAGCCGACCCAATTTATGAGCAGGCAGAGCAGGATTCTTGCGATCTTTGCTTTTACCTGGTTTCTTTAACCATTCCTTGCCAGACTCAAACCCTATCATCCCGGTCAACTCAGCACCACATCCTAAGCCCATCAGAATACACGGCAAGCTACTGGACAAACTGGTAACACTGGAAAAGCCGCCTGAAGATAAGCAGTCAGCGATAGCGCTAAAAGGAACAGAAGCCACTAACTGTGTCATACCGCCCCATAGCATTCGTTTTACAGATGAAATGCAGCCAGACGTACCTCTAGGTACATATTTTGCAGTCTCCAAAAATGTAGACAGGGGTACGTATCCACAATGAACCTGTGTTGCATTATTAATATACTTTTTATATAACTGTTTTTACATATACTTTTCAAAATAACTATTCATATTAACGAATTAATATTATTAATATTTTTTGTAAAGAATATTAATACTGTTACATTATTAAATTTCTAGTTTTATTAGTTTAAGCTTTTCATCTAAAGCCTCATTCAGACTATGAGCAAATCACAGTGGCAAATCGACAAGTGACCGTTCATTTCAATGGAGAGTGAGCGACTTCCAGCGACCTCTGCCTATGTGAGCGACAGCAACTGTTGGCGACCAGGTGGACGTGTCGAGCAATGGGACTAAGTGGAAAATCCTTCAACTTTATGCAAATGAAGAGCAACTTTCTTGTGCGACAGCCAACAGGAGCACCAGTAGAGCACACGTGATCCTCCTTCAGCTCACACAGAGGCCGGTTGTTTTCGCTGTGCTGTAGACCTACACAGACCTGCATTTGCAGCACATCGTCACCCAGAGCGACAGGCACCTACAAAGCCGCTGCTAGTGTGAATGAGGCATAATAACTGCTAAAGTGATCTACAGCACCTTTAAAGGCACAGATCATCAAAAATTATCTCGCCACTTTTATCATTTTCTTTTTTTTTTTAATCACAAAACACAATATTCTGAAGAATGCTGTGAAAAGCTGCCATTGACATCCATAGAAGTAACACAAATACAATGGAAGTCAATGGCTGCTATTTCTTCATTATGTTGTCTTTTGTGTTTAACAGAAAAAATAAACTCAAACAGGTTTGCAACTAGGGCTGGGTATCATTTGGGGTTTTTTTCGATACCATTGCTAAATCGATATTTTTAAAACGGTACTGGTGCCAAAACAGTGCCTGAACCGATACCTTTTAGCCACAAAATTAATCGAAAAATAGCATTATGCTATTAACATTACATTAGCTTACTACTAACCTGTGGAAAGGCTGTAATCAAAGTGATCTAATGATTTGCATTAATTTGAATAAGTCAATAATATGATTTAGGTGTTTACATGAGCTGCTTTTTGAATGTTACATTCATGACTCCCAATTACATGTTCTAGCACATAGATCACTAACATCATTGTCACCAGCCTAATGTTTACTCCGCAGTTTGTGTCTGTGGTCCTTTAAGATCAAACATCACTGTTTATGTAGTAGACTCGTGATCAGAGTATTGTCTTAATCATATTAAAATCAGACTATTGGTGTCCATGTAAACATACTCAGATAATGTACCAGATGATGTCACAAGCTGTCAAAGACAGTCCATTCCTCACCTTTAAGTTGATTCCATGAGCCCTCACATTTCATAAGTTTGACGTGTTTCTCCCCTTTTGTAAAACATGTGCTGCATGTTGGTGTGTCAGTGCTTGTAAAATATAGCCATACTTTAGAATGCTTAGTTTAAGCAAATTAGATGGACGCGATCATGCTTGTTGATGAAGTGAGTCGCTCGCCGCATGCGCCGTGCTGCGCCGTGCTGCGCGCTTTGCCTTTTATAAGCTACAATAACAAACGGCTGGCATCGCAGATATCCGTATCCCTCAAAGCTGTTTAGAATTAAACATTTAGAGATAGTGTGACACAACGCTTACTTGCGTGTGCCTTTAACGCACCCTTTTGTGCTTCTTAAGGGTGTCAGCGGATGCGCCGCTCAGAGCCGCGGCACGGCGTGCACATGACAGTTGATCACACACCAGACGCGCCATTCGCACTTATTTAAAATGAAACTATTCAGATGGCGCTCTGTGGCATGGCAGAAATATAAACAGTCATGAGTCGTGCCTGGGCGCCGTGGACAGCCACTGACTTGAATTCATGGCGTTCTGGTGCACGACCTGGTTTACAATCTTGTTGCAGCACCGAAATTAGGCACCGAAAATCATATGCTGATTTGATCTGGTGCATACCGGTTCCAAAGGTACCGGTACCATAATGGCACCGGGTTTCGGCAGCCAACCCTATTTGCAACAAGTGAAGCATAAAAAATGATGACATGGCGTGAATTATCTCTTTAAAGTGAGGCATAAGGCCTTTTCAAGTCATATCTGGTTAAAACAGGTCTCCCAATCTGTTTATTTAGAAAAACCAGCAAAAAAGTCCAGCTTAAGCTCTTTTTATCAGCAAGAAACCACATAAGAATTGGCCTCTCTTTGTAAATTATTGTCCACCTGTGCATAAAGGCCAATGTTTGACCTTCTGACCCAAGTTCTGCTTCTAAATCCCTGACATGTGGAGCATCATGCCTTAAAAAACCAATCCAAATCTCTCTTTATCCCTGCATGCCTCTGCGCTCAACATCCCTCGCATGTTCTCTCTGTCCATCTCTATCCTCTTTGTGTCCCGCGGGGCAGAGGGCATGTTTGCTTTCACAATGATTTTGGATGTTAAACTCTCTCACTCTCTCTCTCTGCTCCTCTGGCATGCAGGCAGTAATGCCAGGTCCAGGGCCGTCTGTGTTATCTAGGTCACAACAAACCCTGCGGCTGCACGTTTGCTTAAGGAGACCTGACAGCCCTCCGCTTCTCTCTGTCTTTTTTTCCTCCTGAATGAACAGAATGAGACACCGCCAAAAAAAAAAGTAAAAAAATCAAGCGATTATGACAACACAATGCCTCTCATGATCTCTCATCCAATGACAATTCGCCAACACATCATGTTTCTTGCAGCAAGCCAATCGCACGTAGCCACGGTCTCCCCTCCTCGATACGAGTTGTTCATGCTACTTGGAAAATGCAGCCATGCTGAAATGTGCACTTGAGACAAGGGATAAAGCTTGAGACCCACCTTCATAATAGTGATCCTCAACCGTGATGACACGACCCCTGGTGGCACGCACATGATCCACGATGGTTTTATTGTCCAGGGGTTTGATTGTGAAAGGATCGATCACTCTGATGTAAATCCTCTCTGGGGAATGACAGACAACAGGTGGAGAGTTTACATGAAGCTCACATAATAAACATCACAGCATCTAACTAATGGAAAGGTCATAAAGCGATGGCTTTCTTGTTCAGTTTTTTGTCTTGGTTCTAGGAAAATATAAAAAATTTCCTAAATCAAAAAGTGTTTTCTAGACAAGCAAAAATTTTTGTCTTGTTTTAAGGTATAATATGTCAAAATTAAGTAAGCTTTTGCTTAAAACAAGCAAAATAATTTATCAATGGGGTAAGAAATATGATCTTAATTCAAAGCATAAGACTATTTCACTTGGCAGATTATTAAGCTCAGTGGTTCTCAAACTTTTTTCACCAAGTACCACCTCAGAAAAAATTGGTCTCTCCAAGTGCAACTATAATGACCAGTAATGAAATAAAGCAGTTAAGTTGACCAAATTAAGCAGCTACAGCACTGCACAGTTCAAAAACAAGTCATATTCATATTTATACAATTTTTGATAAAATTTGAAATATATGTTGCATGTACATTTGACGTATTTGTAAAACTTTTTGAAATCTAAACATTAACTTGCATGTAGATTGCCAGGGAACCTGTTTTTCTCAGAGGATGTCAAGCTGACAGAACATTGCTGCACTCTGATATGAGTTTCATTTATGGAGAAAATTAAGAAGCACTGCAGTATTTGGGTGTTCTGTGTTTGAGATAATTAGTCGGACTAAGTTATATTCTATATAAAATATGAAGCTGATCAGTTGATTCTTGTCACGTCACTCACGGTGCTGCATTCTAAAAGTTAAGATGTTTTCAACTAGATATGCCTGGGATACGCAAGCACGAGGTGCTGCAGTTGTTACTATTTTTTCTAGCCTGTGGGTTAAATTTTGACGCTCAAGTGACCGAGATGTAACAAGAGAATACGGTCATTTTTTAAAATTTTATTAGTTTTGTCTTTCATTACTCAGTGATTGCTCCACGTACCACTAGAAGTAAGCCCGCATACCACTAGTGGTACACGTACCACAGTTTGAGAACCACTGATTTAGGTTGTTTTAAGGAAAAAAACACTTAATTTTGGCATATATATATATATATATATATATATATATATATATATATATATATATATATATATATTTTTTTTTTTTTTTTTTTTTATATATTTTTTTTTATATATATATAACAATATTTTTTCTTGTCTAGAAAAGGCTTCTTGATTTAAGAATTTTTAGATATTTGGACTAGAAACAAGATCAAAAATCTAAGTAAGAAAAGCTCTTTTTTTGCAGTGAACACAGCTGAAGAGCAAGTGTTATATATACAACTCTGGCTCATTATTGATATAAAGCCCTGTTTACATTTCTGGACAGCATGAAATATGTCCCAGAGCATATGATTTTTTGTTTTTGCGAATCCACCAGAAGTCGCTGTGTATGCTTTTTTGATGACAAATTTCTCTTGCAAGTGCAATTCGCACCTGCTCTTCTTGTGTAAATCCAACAGAGGCTGTTGTCGACTGACTGACTGACTGACTGACTGACTGCCGACGTGCGTGGTGAGTTACTGGGAAAACTGGAAAAAATCTGTCCACACGGCGGTAAGAGGTCAGCTGGTAGTTTAAAAACAAACAGAAACCCTCTGCGGCGTCATACCACACCATAGCGACCATTTTAAAGACGAAATGCAGTCATACCATACCTAGCTCTGGATACATAATTAGCGCTCTCCAAAAATGTATACAGGGTAAATTTTCACAATGAGCCTGTGTTGTGTATATATATATATATATATATATATATATATATATATATATACACACACATACATACATACATACATACATACATACATATATATATATATATATATATATATATATATATATATATATATATATATCATTTTTATACAATATATACTACGACATTGAGTGAAATTGTGAAATTTTATCAGATGAATTGGATAGCTTTATTTGGAAATAACTGATCATTTCACACAGACTGGGAACAATTTGTAAGGGAATGCATCTTAATTAAAATAATAATAAACCAAATCACAAGCATTGCTGAGTAGATACAAATGAAACAAACAATGCTTTATGACAATGCTGGGAGTCAATATTCAGGTACACAAATTGAATATTCAAATGTAAAATAACATTGCGTAGTCTTCATCGTATATACAGTGCACTGTAAAAAATGCTGCGATGCACATTATCTTATCATAAAGTGATTGAGATAACTTATTGGTTTTTAACAATTTCAAGTTGAATGAACATAAAACAATTAAGCTGTCCCTGAAAAAAACTCAAGGACTGTGTTGTTTCAGCTCATTTTAAATAAGCATTTTGAACAAGCAGCAAACATTTTTGAGAGTATATACATAAATACAAAAATAATTCTCAAATAACATATAATTTACCCTGCCTAAATGCTTTAAACTGACTTGAAATACAAAAATCACAGGTCCTAAAAACCCTCATAACTGATAAACGTTTTGATAAATTGACTTGATATAAGTTTACTGTGACTACTGTGGATGCTGAAACATTATAATGTTGCAAATTCAATTGTAAATACTCATTCATTCATTTTACCTTTAGCTTAGTCCTCCATTTATCAGGGGTTGCCACAGCGGAATGAACCACCAACTGTTCTGGCATATGTTTTATGCAGCGGATGTCTTTCCAGCCACAACCCAGTACTGGGAAAGCCCATACACACTCACTCAATCACACACACACGCACACGCGCACGCGCGCACACACACACGCGCACACACACACAAACACACACAAACACACACAAAGACCAATTTAGACCATCCAATGTACCATATTGCACATGTTTTTGGACAGTGGAGGATACCGCAGCACCTGGAGGAAACCCACGCCAACACAGGGAGAACATACAAACTCCACACAGAAACGCCAACTGGCCTTTCTTAGGACTCGAACCAGCAACCTTCTTGCTGTGAGGCGACAGTGCTAACCACTGATCCACTGTGCCACCCTTAATTGCGATTATATAACAGTTTTTGTATCAATATATTTTCTTGCTTTATATCACTTATACCTTTTTTAAGTTGCTCGGCTGCGGCCAGAGCTTCATGGAGGGTCATTCCTGCTGCGATCACTGTAACCTGATCTTCTTTACTCTGGCACACCACCTGCTCAGGAAATATAGACATCAGTAGTACATCATAACACATAGGCTTGATATTGCCCCTTATATAATTCACGCTTCACTACATTAGTATACGAACATAGTCTTCTTTAAGGAGTGAATGAAAACAAGTGAGTGAATTGGAGCACTCGATGCACCAGGAGGGATGCTGTTTTGTTTGTTTGTGCTTTGGTGGTTGATAAATCCCTCAGATGGATTAGATTTTAATCAACGCGGTCAGATGTGATGGTTATTTAACCCTTAGCAAGCGGTCTACTAATAATGAATCAAAGTAGTTTGATTTCTGTCATGCATACAAATGTTAATTTAACAATAAAATAATAATTTATTTAGAAATGTTGAAACCTCAGATTTTTTTAAAAACCTCATTGTCAATTCAATACAACTCAACTTAATTCAACTAAATTAAATTCAACCCAATTAAATTAAATTAAATTAAATTAAATTAAATTAAATTAAATTAAATTAAATTAAATTAAATTAAATTAAATTAAATTAAATTAAATTAAATTAAATTAAATTAAATTAAATTAATTTCTATAGCGCTTTTCGAAATGTAGATTGTGTCAAAGCAGCCTAACATTGTTAAAGTCCAGATTTCGGAGTTGAAGTTCAGTTTAGTTCAGTTCAGCGTGGTTTAAATTTCACTGCTGAAAGTTCAAACACTAAAGCGCAACACCACAAGTTCTGAACCAAGCAAGTGTGGTCAGATGAAGAAATTAATTCTGTGCACAAACCTTCACAATGTATTATGGTAATTCCCTAGCCATTGAGTGTACATTGGATTGTACACTCATTATTATGGTGAATTGTGGGATTGATTGAGTGCGCTTCAGAACATCCAGCCTGCATTCCAGTTCACATTTAGACATGCACTTGTCTCCATTTTAATGTGTATTTCACGTCATCAAATTAACGAGGGAAGTTTACATGGACATACTCTCGATCCAATGATTTTGAACGAGGGAGCAACCCTTAATGCAATATGATTGTGACGTCCCAACAGAGTAGTTCCGCAAGAGCTCAAGAGTTTAGGGTTGGGGTGCCCAAAATTTTCTTATGAAGGGCCAAAAACCAAGCTTAATTGAGGTTGAAATATACCAAACTATTACATAAAAGCTGCCATGGGAATATACTAAGTTATTAATATTTAAAAATAAATAGAAAAATACCTTAATTGTAGCAATAATTATATATATATATATATATATATATATATATATATATATATATATATATATATATATATATATATATATATTTACATTTTATAATGAACTTCTTACAATAAAAACATAAACAAAGACTCTTATATCACAATGGTGTTCAATGCTGAATACACAACTCAAGCTGCATCTGCCTTTGCCTTGAATTGCTTGCCGATGTCTTGTGTATTGTCCTTTAAATTGATAGTGTGACACTATTTACATTTTTAAAAATCTGATTCATGCACAACATTTAATTTAAACATTTAATTTCAGATGGCTTTTTGTAACTTAACATTATGAACACAGACTTTTAATTTTCATTCAGCCAGCCCAAGCGCTTCAGGGGAACTATCGTGCCCTTACAAAGTTGCACATTTAAGGTCTGTTTTCATTAAAATCAGTGATCTTCACTGCCTGGTTGATATACAAAATAAAGTGGGTCTCAGACTGGAAAAGAAGCACTTAATAAAATTATATTATATAAAATTATAATAAAATTTTCAACACCATGTCCTTAAAATTTACCCCAGTATTTTCAATGGAGTTTCTGCGCTCGCCTGCTGCTACTGACGGCACTTGCATTTACACAGTCTTTCAACTCGTTTTACAATTGAACAACTAAATGAATGCTTAAGTCTGTTTAACTGATTTCGTTTAAAGATTATCATTGGCTGAAAAAAAACTGGCTGTACATATAGCCCAAAAACTAACAAACTAACTCACAAAAGGTTATGATAAATTACAAATGGCAACTTCTGTTGAAGGCGTTCACCCCAAACTTTCCATTATTCTAAAACACTTCTAAGATGGGATGGTTGGTCAAATCAAAGGTTAACATGGGCCAACATTGCAGGCTCTATTTTGAGCATCTCTGGTTTAGGGCATTCCATTTAAACCCATTCAGAAGCATCACCAGTAGTGGACACTTGTGACACTCAATGACGTACATCCGAGGGAACGAGACAGAGGGCATAAGCATTTGAACTGGAATGCAGCCTCACTATGGTTTTGGATACAGCCATATATCCTTATTGGTTTCGGATACAGCCATTTATCCTTTTTTCAAATAAATAATAATTATATAAATTATAAGTTTATTAATTATGATATACACTTATTTAGTATATAAATCTGCAGAAGCAGTCGAATTAAATGAAGAATGATTACCTTGGCTTGGCCAACATGGAAGTCCTCATTGCTGTTGTAAATGATTGCAGTCTCTGGACGAGTGGTGCGGATGTAGCAAACACCCTACAGTGAAAAACACACTTTACAGACCCAGAAAGCTCACAAAAAAAAAATCAATATAAATATGAATTCTGTTTAAAAAAAAATCTACAGTGTGATACACAGATTTAAAAAAATACATATCTATTAGCTTTTTCTTTGTTTCTAAATTCCTTATAATTCTGTTTCCTTCAACTGCAATTCTGCATCTTATCAGTCAACTTGATTAATTGCCAAACTGAATTTGAACACTAATTCTATTATACTCTAGTTCTATTGAACATTTGTTGTTTTCAATCACTGTATGCTGTATTAATTTTATGTACTGTAAGGGCATCAGACAAAAAATGAATTGTTCAACCGCTCATAATTGCAGACAGAACATGCCAACCTTTGTGTTGGCTGCGAGCTCCACAGCCTTTTCAGCAGACACGGCATCACTCGGGTAGAAAATGGTGGCAGTGGGGATGGCTCTAAAAATAGCCATGTCCTCCAGCCCCATGTGAGCCGGTCCGTCCTCTCCTAAAACACAAACACACACACCAGGCATAAACTGGCACTATTAATTCCAGCTGAACAGCATTTGTCTTTCAGATACAGTGCCCATCACTAATACTGGCACCTGTGTTTAATATGAGCAAAGAAGGCTGTGAAAAAATATATATATTATTTAACCTTTTCGTTTTTTTTGCTCAAAATATTAACATACAATTCTCACTGAGAATGAACAATTGAAAACAAATCATAGTATTTTTATAAAAAAAAAAACAATTAACTTTGTGAATATACTCCACATAGAGATCATATTAATAGAAATATATGCAATATATGACATACAAATTCATGTTTAGATTTCACATATATAAAATATATTTCATATATGCAACACATTTCAAAATGTTGCAAAAAAAAGCTCTATGTATATATTTATTCAAATATTGGAGATACAATATGTACAGTACATACAATACATGTTCAAATATATTTGTCACGATTACCAGCGATCATTTCCCATAAGATCGCTGTTTGCACCTACAAATACCATGGACTACAAATCTGCCATTCCTGGACTACATATTCATACATGCACTCCGGTCACACTCACACATGCTTCCTCATCTAGACTGATTACATTCACACCACCTGAGGATTGTCAGAGACTGATTAACACACACTATTTGAGCCACACATTCACCCCTTCAGTTTGCTGAGTCTTGTTATCTGTCACAGTAGCATTACAACGCATTTCCCAGTCTTGTTATCTTGTGTACAATTCTTGTGTTCAATTATATTTCCATTGATTTATACAATGTTTTAGTACACCTGGATGAAACATATGACTATAAGGAAACGAACCAAACTCATTCACTAAAATAGGCACAGTAAGACCAAAGAACAGAGCTGTGATTGGAGGCAAAAGTCTGTTGAGCTTCACAAAATGGAAACATAATGCAAGAACATACCAAAAAACACTTAAAATGCCCCTAATAATAAATGATTAAGAAATTCCAGTGAGTTGAATCAGCCTGGAAGAGGATGCGTGTCTATGTTGTTCCAATGCACTGTTAGTCTTGCCCAACTGAGCCTGGTTTTTTATAAATCTTTTTTTTCCTTCACTTTCCTTAATTGGTGAAATTTGTTTCTCGCCACTGGCTTGCTTGGATTGGAGCTTGTGAAGCTGCGCAGTTTTGGATTTGCTCTTCGGTGTTCGGGCTTTCAGCAGTGAAAATGAAACCACACTGAACTGAACTAAACTAAACTTCAATTCTGAAAACTGGACTGACACAGTTTCAATTCACTAGAACTTCTATATTGCAAAAAATGCAGGGTTCCACACAATTAATTCATGTTGTCCCAACACAAATTGATTAAGTTAACTTAACACTTTTGACAAATTTATGTGGATTGAACATAAAAAATTAAGTTATCCCAATGAAATCTCAAGTAATCTGAACAAGAAAATTTTTTTGAGTGTATGTTAAGCAGCTTTGACACCATCTTCTTTGTAAAAACACTATAGAAATAAAGATGAATTAAAGATGAATATTCAATAATTTGGACAAAAAAAATTCAATGTCTGTAATAGACTTTGTAAAATTCCCATGGAAACCCAGTATTTCACTATAATTATTTAAAAGTTTTTTTAAAGCCTCTATTCTCATAAAAAGTAAAATAAGACTCAAGCATCAAAATGTTAAACAATAAAGACATTTTTTACAGTCTTCTTTGCTCAAATTTACAACCAAGGCTCATTCTGAGAATGTACTGCTATAGACATTTCTGGAGAGCACCAATACAGTACGTCCAAGGAGGTAAGTTTTTGTCCAGAAAAAACAAACAAAAAGTGCTCTGGGGTAAGCTCAAATGTATGGTCGGTGCTCTTTGGGTAAGGGATTCATTAAAACAGCAACAAGAATCAGTCCAAGGCACTCGAATAAAGTGAAAAATTTAAAAAGCCTTTATTGACATGGCTAAATCTCTAAAAACCTACACGTTTCGGCAGAAGCTTTAGCCATGTGAATAAAGGCTTTTTAAATTTTTCACTTTATTCGAGTGTCTTGGACTGATTCTTGTTAAGGTAAGTTTTTGCTTGAACAAATCCACCAGACGCCACTGTGTACACTTTTTGAGATCTCAAATTTCTGTTGCGAGTGCCATTCGTGCCTGCTCTTCTTTTGTAAATTCACCAGAGGCCGCTGTTGACCGACTGACTGACTGACTGACTGACCGACTGACTGACCAACCGATCCCCCCCACCCTCCTTCTTCCCTAAACCTAACCAATAGTGTTTTCAAAAGCATCGACTGACCCACCCACCTACTTCCCCAAACCCAACCGACAGTGTTTTTAAAAGCAATCCAGAAAAAGAAAAGCCCTTGCCTGAATTTTACCACGTTTTCAGATTTTACCACATTCTCACCCTGTTATTTACTATTTTATTTTATTTTATTTTTTGGCTTCTGTTTTTGTCTAACCCGCTTTCTGGAACTGTTCTTTGCCAAGCTCGAACCCCAGCATCATGTTAACTCCTCTTTGCATCTAAAGTCCGCCAATGTACATGGCAAGCTACTGGACAAACTGGTAACAGCTGAAAAGCCGTCCATATGGAGGTAAGCGATCAACTGGTAAGCATGAAAAGGAATGTCATTATACTGCCTCGTAGCATTTGTTTTAAAGACGAAATGCAACTATACGTACATCTGGCAACATAATTTGCGATCTCCAGAAATGTATATAGGGCTACATTTTCATAATGAGCCTATGTTGCATATTTATCAAGGGTGCCAACATTAGTGTAAAACAGCTGCATATGCATGCGACAGATAGACAGACATGCAGGCAGGTGCAGAGACAGACGAAGCGGCATGCAGTGTACCTGTGCTAATGGAGGGGATGCCAGGTCACCCAGAAACAGGGGGAGGGAGAGAGGGAGAAAGGGTTGTGCAAAGAGTAGCCCCACCTCCAGATGACCAGGAGAACAAAACACACATCAGAAAGACAGCTTCAGGAAAAAGAGGGGTGAGCTGCTCACAAACCAATGCAAAGACATCACTGTTAAGAGTCACAACTGCAGAGTGAGAGGAGAAGAGAGTGCAGCAGTCGAGTTCTGGAAGCAAAATCTCCATTCGTGTTCTTCATAAGGAAATTAATTTTAATGATAACCTATAAATCTTTAAAGACCAACCTACTGTGAGCTCCAAAGTGGTTAATGGATGACGTGCTTCTGTTGAATATCTATTCGCTTTTCAACTTATTAAAAAAACATACACAGGTGAAGTCAAAATCAAGACTCCTATGAATTAATTTTTTCAAATATTTCCCAAATGATGTTAAACAGAGCAAGGAATTTTTCAAAGTATTTCTTATGATATTTTTTCTTCTTGTTTAACTATTATTTGTTTTATTTCAACTAGAATAAAAGCAATTTAAATTGAAAAAAAAAAACATAATTTAAAGCTCAATATTATTAGCCCCCTTAAGCAATACATTTTTCGATTGTCTATAGCAGTGGTCTTCAACATTTTTGTCCCTGTGGACCGGTCAACGCTTGACAATTTTACTAATTTACGAAGCCTGGGGGTGGGGGTGAATATAATAAATATATATTTATAAAAAAATATAAATATAAAAATATACAAATATAAATATAAATATATTTTATACAAAAATAAAATATCATTCAGACTCAGATAGTAAATAAAACGGAAATAATTAACGGTTTCTTGTGCGGCCCGGTACCAAATGATCCACAGACCAGTACCAATCCGCGGCCCGGTGGTTAAGGACCACTGTTTTACAAAACAAACCATCATTATAAAATGACTCGCCTAATTACCCTAACTTGCCTGATTAACCTAGTTAAGCCTTAAAATTGCATTAAGCTGAATACTAGTATCTTACAAAATTCTATCAAATAAAATGTACTGTCAAAATGGCAAAGATAAAAGAAAACAGTTATTAGAAATAAGTTATTTCTAGTTATTACTTTTCGTTAAAAATAAATTGGGGAAAATATACAGGGGGGCTAATAATTCAAGAGGGCTAATAAATCTGACTTCATCTGTATATTAATGTAGTTGTGTCCCAAATGATGCACTATGTAGTTAAGCACTGTATGCTCGACTGTTTAGTACATAAAACTTTATTATGAAATAACATTTCATGCTTTATTTAATTTGGTTAAAGTATATTACCAGATATTTAAAGTACACCTTTTTGGTATTTTTGTATTATTTTTGATTGTGTCAGTCGCAATGCTATGCAAAAGCATTCTTCTTTTTCCTGATCACAAAAGCCATTATGTACAAAGCACACTGAAAAAATTGATGTCTGCAAAACTGTTGCGAACTATGTATTTGTGATGAATTTAAACACACAAATTAAATTTAGTAATGTTCAACTTTTTAAATTCAGGCCAAAAAAACAGTTTACAACCACTTAACGTAAAAATTTTAGTAAATCCTTTTTTTTTTAGTGTACTGTCTCACTGTGACTCTCTGTTTGGGGTTAAACTATTTTTAAAATGTTTAAAATAATAACATTTTAAAAGTTATTAAAGCCTTTTTCAACATCTCTGTGTAAACAAATGAATGGAAAAAATACTTCCGGATACCATTCTGCTGAAAAAGTGAGCAGGTACTACTGGAATCTGTGGGAGGTGCTGGAAAAATAGGTGGGGCTTAAAAGTAATCTTTTTGATTAGACAGTGCACTTGACTATTAGAAGTTGGGTGAGGATGTGGAGTATTTAAAACTCTTCATTTCTTACCAACAGACAGGCCGCAGTGGGAGCCGCAGAGGTTAATGTTGCTGTCTGAGATGGCAGCCATGCGGACCTGGTCATAGGCGCGGGTGAAAAAGGTGGCGAGGCCACTGGCGAACACAATGTTTCGCTCACGTGCAGCACAGCCTGTGGCAACACTAACCTATAAGAGATTGATATTAGCATGAAAACATTCCTTTTCCTACTAATAAAACCAACACTGAAAAAAATGATTCTGACCCCTTGTAAATGTTACATGTTTTTATCTGGTTAATTTCACTAATTTTAATGTGTTATTTAATCCTACTTATTTTTTATTATTAATTTTTAAATTCACTGCTTTTGTTTAAAACAAGTTAATTTCATTCAATTAAAAGTAATTAGAAAAAAATACGTTTCATTTAATTTCCATATACTATCCGGTCTGCGCATGTGCAGACACTTTTTTTCCTGAAGGCGCCAAGGCGGGGAGGTTGAACGTGATGCACTCATTTGAATGCTGCATCCAGCTCTGCATTTTCGGTAAGTAATCAATATATAATCATTGGTGTGTTATATTTGTTACTTAAACAGGGTTCTGTTTACACTTTTAAACATTTTATAGAAAAATGTGTTTAGCTAATGCTAAATTGGTATGTTTTTATATCAATTAACGTTACATTAAATTAAATTACAACTAAGGTTTCAGCGATTAGCTTAACTACGTGAGTTGTGTAAGGTTAGTAAGTTAACTTAGCTTAAGTGTTAAATGCTTGGTGAATTCAGTGTTTGTCTTGATTATTTATTAGTTTGTGGAAGCCGAATAAAAGCAAAACAGTTTTACGAATGTTAACGTTAATTGTAGCAGCACCTTCCTTGCTGTCTAGGCTTGTAACGTTACGTTACGTTAGACTGGCCAAGCCTAACATTACATAACGTTATTCCTGACTGGCTGTAAGCATTTCTTGTAATCTTGTCAATGTGTTAACATTAGAACAAAATAGACCTGTGAAATCATGTTGGTAAAATATGCTTAATGTGCACTGGCGGCAAGAATTTATGTTTCTACATAATCATAATGGCAGGCATAAGTTACGTTGGGTACGTGGATTTATCATTTCTTTAAAAGTTTGTATTTTTTTTTACACCCGTAGACCCGCTCCTACTCTGCCGCTGACTGGCTCCGACCGATCGTGACGTCGCTCCACTTGCGCAAACCAAACCAAAGAGCTTCTTTGACCTAACCAACGATTGCAACGGACACTAGCCAATCAGAGGCAGGTCTTCGCGGAATGCGAGTAGGAAAAGTAAACAAGCTTCTCTTTGGTGGCAGCGGCATGGGTCGCAGTCCTCGTGGACGGTCTCCGACTCGCCTTATCAGAGTTTAAAACGTAAAGGTGGGGGTGAAAGTAGATGTATTAGAAGCATGCAAATGTTTCATAACTAAATTGCAGGAGATTTGCAGATGACACGAGAGGACCAGCTAGTACGACCACAGCCGATAGTCCAGTGAAAGACCAGGGTTTAGCTAGCAGGTTGATGTTGTTCAACTTTGTTTCTGCTCTAAACACAAAGACCAATTATGTTGGCATTGCATTTATTGCTCCCAATTTTAAACTAATACTTTTTGTATAGAAGTGGAACATGACAAATCCAAATACTAATAGAGTTAGTGATATGGCATGAAGACAGAATAAATAATTAATTAATTTTAATTAAATTTACAAATTAATTACATTTACAAAACTAAAAGCTGGCAGGGGTCTTGACTTGTTGACTCAGTTATAATATCTCACAATGTACTTAGTAGTAGTAGGCTTGTGGACTTTGTTAAGAGATTTTTCTGTTTCTGATTTCACAAACAGTTTATAATAAATCGCCATGATCTGACACAATGTAAATAACCTTACACAATTATTTATTCTAAATCACTGTACATGTGTTTATATTTCATGCATTGTTGTACAAACAATGGTAGTTAATTTAAGAAACATTGATGAGGTAAGCACATGCTTGCTCCCTGGGTTTTTACATTGCACTTTGACCCATTGTAAATATAAAAAAAATATTATTAAGGTTTAAATAAGGATACAGGATGCTGGTCCAGTTTTGATTTCTTGCCATTACTCTTGATTAATAGCAATACATCTGGCCAGAACACACTGTACACCTAATATAAGAAAATTTGATTATATCTATTTAATAGCTACAAAATATCATTACACCAATGGCTGATCACAGTGCTCTTTGTCTTCTGTTGTTGTTTTTATGTGTGTAGATAAATGTTGAATTCCAGCGCATAACAACCATCCCACTTGAAACAACCTTTATGGCTCAGTTGGACAGCCATTTACCCTAGCTAACATCTATTTTCATCAAAAAGGAAGGTGTTTCTGGCCAAAAACTAGCCAAACATCTGGCGATCTTGCAAGAGGTAAACATGTTTTTACATTTTAGTAGAAAATATCATATACACTGTGGAGAAACCTGAAATGTACCTGTCTAGTGCCAGCCTTGATTATTTGTAAATGACAAGGTTCCTAAGGCTACATCCACACTACTACATTTTTGTTTTAAAACGGAGATCTTTTGGTACATTTGCACCTACCATGCAGACTGAACTGTCACCCTATCGCCCTACACATTCAGACCTGAAAATGAAGTCACAATACACTAACATTCTTTAGCTAAATAAGGCAGCCCATTTACAGAATGTATCATGAAGTCATTGTGTATATATTTTTGAGGTTACCACAGGTTTAAAGTATTCTACAGTTTTTAGACATTTTTTATTATTTATTGTATTTTAATAGTTGTTGTCCTTTTACACAGGCTACAAGTGACATCAATCTTAAATGGGCAGCAGTCCTCAAGGCACTTTGCATCTATCTTGGTGAGGATGATGAACATCTCATTCAGGAGTATAAGGCAAGTAATTGTAATTGCATTTATCAGTCTGATGTACTGTCTTGTAATATAAAATGTTTTAAGATCCTAATGTCACTAACCCACTAGTTAGAAGAAAATACATTTAAAGGGGCACTCAACAAAAACAAACCCAGTGCACAACAAAATCAGTGTGTTGACACCAAAACTATGGCAGCTGTAGTCCTACACAGTCTGCATGCTGTCGTGTTTTGGGGTCTAGAGCTATTATAGTGTGGAAGCATGCTGTTTATTTAAATCAACTAATGCAAAACTTGAAAAATGCTCTAGCCACTAAAGCATGTCACTACAGAGGATCATACTGTGGTTTTTATGTTAGTCCATTGATGATGAATGCATTAAAGGAGAACTCTGGTCAATTTTAACATTGAGCTAATTTTTTTTGTAAATTTGGAGTGCTGTCAGTACAGAGAACCTGTTTTTTGGTCCACAGTAGTCGATTGTCGAGTTCAAGTGCATAGGTTTAGTTACCTATGATCACGCGTGTGATCTCGACAATCGACTACTGTGGACTTTGACTGAAAACAGGAAATAAATTAAGATATGTGCGCTGGCTGAATTAACATCACTTTTATTCATATCTTTCACATCTGCTGCTGTCAGAGAATCACTCACATGGCTGGACATTTGTAATGACACATCAAGGATGTTAAGAGGCTAAAAGCATGTTTAAAACTTGCCCCATTGAAGTCAACAGGGTGCCAATTATAAAAAGAGCATAACACTGTGTAGGCAACACCGATTTCTGCCGTTGTTCTCTGTACTGACAGCACTCCAAATTTACAAAAAAATTACCTCAATGTTGATATTGACCTGAGTTCTCCTTTAACATTATGAGAATATTTGTATAAAATCAACAATTTGCTGCAGAGTTTTCAAAGCAGGTAACATTTTCTAAACACACCCTGGTGCATTCAAGAAGTCTGACATACAATAGTTATTAACAGACTCTGACAAACTTTATGTTGAGGAAATGAAATGCTGCAGAGTAAAATAACATGGATGTTGTCACAGGATGATGTACATTTGTCTGTGTCTGGACTGGAGATGTTCAGTAATTGGCTAAAACATTTTAAACCATCAGTTTGGTTCTTGAAACAATAAGGCAGGCTTTATTCATAACTTTTCTTATTGTTAAATTAAAAGACCAAAACCAACAATGTGTTAGTCCATCTCTCAATCCATTCTGACTTCTGTGTCTGCTCCATTTGCAGAAGATTTTGGATATTTTTCATAAAGCCATAAAAACAAAAATCTGTGGTTTGTTAATTCACATGAACCTTTACTTAACTGACAAAAATATTTTCAATGGTTTTACTGACCAGTGTAATTATGGATTGTAAATATAAAGAAATTTAGAATTTGCAGGTCATTAAAATCTATTACATAAATTCATGTTTTTCTTATATTCTACAAATATACAGGACATTGAAGGAGATGGCATCCAGAGAGACCTGCAGAATTCCACCATGGGCGTATATGTCATCAACAAGGAGGGTGGAGAAATTGGAGCACATGATGACATTTATGTTGAAGGAGAAATCATTCTGGACAACATTGGATCTGTAGCCCAAGCATCTGCAATGATGCTGGGAGTCATCTATGTATTGAACTTGGCCTACCCCAAAGAGCTGAAATACTCTTATGAATTCATTCAAAATGTGCTCTTGAAAATGGATGGAGAAAGACTTTCCCCCCAAAGTCCTTGGACTAAAGAACAAAATCATTGCTGGACTGTAGGATTTCTTCAGCCACTCATGTAAACGCTGCTAAGCTGCATTTTTAAATCTGGTTTGGGAGGCGATAGAAAACATATAGTATGATGTAAAATGCAACCCTAGAAAATGTTTCAAACTGAAAACAAAGTGAGTGGTGGACTGTAATACATAGCCACTGGTGTGAACATTTAAAGTTGTCATTGGATTTAGTCGAATATTCACCTGAAATAAAAATTGCAATCCTGTAAATAGGCCAGGTTTCTATCCACACTCAGCACAAAAAGTATCCATCCATCCATTAACGCCATATGAATATTAGAAGTTAAGCGCTTTGAGATAAACAGTTGATGATGTCTGCACCATTATGGCATTGCATAAGAAGAGGACACAATGAGATGACGTCATTAAAAGAGCTCCAGTCAAAGTTCAAACAATGGAGAACCATGTGTAAAACAAGAAATTATGACAATTCTTGTTAGTTTCATGTGAGAATGTTACAGCCTCCTCATTGCTTCACACAGATGTGATGTTTTCATTTGACACTATTTTTATTTTTTTTAGATTAGCTTAAGCTTCAGTTGACATTTAAGTCACGTTTCATTTTATTTAGTAAGTCTGTTTCCATATTTATACACCAACTTTTTCACCTCAGCCAAACATAAAATCTTTTTTTTAATTAGTATTTTTTGAATGTAACTACAGTTTTTTGTAATTTCAGCATCAGGTCCTCAGTGTGCACTGTGTTGCAGCTGTGGACAGTTCTTATATTATAGTATTTTTTGTTCTGTATAGTACTGGTGTATTTTGTTACTTGTATATGTTTTGTTGTGTGTTAAAAGGCTTCCCTCCAAAGTTCTCCTGTGTGTATATGTATACAGCCACTATTGTGAATATTTAAAGCTGCACTAATGATGTTTTGGAATATTGACTCAATGTAAGTTTGCAGTTAAATATAATCTCACGCAAGTTATTCAGTGTTCGCTGTCTTCCAGCTAATCTGGTGCACTTGTTTTGTTACGAATGGTACAATGTATTTTATGTTAATGGATGATATACTGCATTTTGTTATAAGAAAACAATTTGAGAAATGATTACTGAGTTTCATTACTGCCATTCTTTAAGAGAGCAAAAATATCTCTTGGATCACAAAAATAAAGTTAAAGTTGAAAATATTGGGTTTGCTTTACTTGTCTGAATATTAATGAAAGATACAATAGATAAAAAAAAATATTGGATTCAAATTAATTTTAATATGTAGAAATTAAACGATTAAATTGATCTGGTTGCACAATTAATTTGAGTTAATTCTACTCAAAATAGTTTAGCTAAAATTATGAATATAATTAATCTGAAATTACTGAAAGAGATTAATAAACTCAATGTATAAAATATAAGTAGAACCACTTTATAAAATATAAGTAAACTCAACTTAAAAAATATAAATTCACTTAACTTAAAAAATATATCTGGATTTAGATAAAATTATTTCGTGCAACCCCTTGACGTAATAAAATTAAGTAAATTCAACATAACATTTTTTTCAGTGAATGCTTTTTATATGGTGGATTACTGGATCTGGGCTTCGTGAACATGAGGCAGAACAAGAGTAACCGCCCTAGCAACCTAAGTAACTGCATAGCAACTATATAGTCGCTCAGTCTTTAGTAGGTTTTAATATAACAGGGGAGTCACATGGAATCCACTAAACAGGAACTCCATTTTATCCTTCATATGATAGGAATTACCAACATGCAGCTCGCTGTCATTTCCTGTTTCCTGTCGCAAATCCTCTCCATGCGACTCATAATCTAGAATATGATGGAGCCTCAGCCACAATATACTTTACGCATTTATCAAGTTTTCACCTATAATAAAACATATTCCTTTTTCCCAACATTCTTTTACTCAATATATTTCAATAAATATGGGGTCAGAATAAATAGATACAAAATTTTTTTAGGCATATTTTGACATTTTATTACCACAAAAGTTTGATAATACACTACAGTTTAATAGTAATTAGTAACAAGTTACAGTGCATCCGGAAAGTATTTATACCTCTTCACTTTTCCTCATTTTTTTTTATGTTACAGCCTTATTCCAAAATGGATTAAATGTATTCATTTCCTCAAACATCTACACACAACACTCCATAATGACAATGTGAAAAAAGAGTTTTTGGAATTGTTGCAAATTTATCAAAAATAAAAAAACCTGAAAACTCACATGTACATCAGTATTCATTCACAGTCTTTGCTCAATACTTTGTTGATGCACCTTTGGTGGCAATTACAGCCCTAAGTCTATTTGAATATGATGCCACAAGCTTGGCATTTTTGCCTATTCCTCTTTACAGTACCTCTCAATCTCTATCAGGTTGGATGGGAGGCGACGGTGTACAGCCATTTTCAGATCTCTACAGAGATTTTCAATAGGATTTAGGTCTGGGCTCTGGCTGGGCCACTTAAGGACATTCAGCGAGTTGTTGTGAAGCCACTCCATTGATATATTGGTGCTGTGCTTTGGGTCATTGTCCTGCTGGAAAATGAACCGTGGCCCCAATCTGAGGTCAAGAGCACTCTGAAGCAGGTTTTCATTCAGGATGTCTCTGTAAGAGAGTCCTGTACCATACAGGCCTGATTGGTGGATTGCTGCATAGATGGTTATCCTTCTATAAGGTTATCCTCTCTCCACAGAAAAACGCTGGAGCTCAGACATAGTGACCATCAGTTTATTGATCACCTCCCTGACTAAGGCCCTTCTCCCCCGATCACTCAGCTTGAGTGGCCGGCCAGCTCTAGAAAGAGTCCTGGTGGTTCCAAACATACTTACGGAAGATAGAGGCCACTGTGCTCATTGGAACTTTCAGAGCAGCAGAAATGTTCCTGTTACCTTCCCCAGCCTTGTGCCTCAAGACAATCCTGTCTCAGAGGTCTACAGACAATTCCTTTGTCTTCATGCTTGGTTTGTGCTTTAACATGCACTCTCAACCCTGTACAACATACAACAGGCATACAACAGGTGTATGCCTTTTTAAATCATGTCCAATCAACTGAATTTACCACAGGCGAACTCCAGTTAATCTGCTGAAACATTTAAAGAATGATCAGCGGAAACAGAATGTACTTGAGCTCAATTTAGAGCTTCACGGCAAAGGCTACGAATACTGATGTACATTTGATCTTTCAGGTTTTATATTTTTAATAAATTTGCAACAATCAAAAAAAAAATCTTTTTCACATTGTCATTATGGGGTATTGTGTGTAGAATTGTGAGGAATTATTTGAATTTTATCCATTTTGGAGGCTGTAACATAAATGAACGTTGAAAAAGTGAAGCTTTTAAAATCTTTCCGGGTGCACTGTACATTTGCTTGGTCTTTGATCAAATAAAACAAATATTTTACCTAATGCATTACCATATACACATTTATTAAGAGTTAAGTATCAAAACACTTCTTGAAGCCCCTGAATCACATCGTTAAGCAATCAAAATCAATTAATATTTCTTTTTTGACTGACAACATTACAAATTACTCTCTCATTAGTATGCATGCTCGGATCTATTATTATATATGCTTTAATTAGCATTACTATTGCTTCTGATTGCTTAACTGGGCATAACTGATATGAACTCTGACCAATTAATTAGTATTCAGATTTTCATCCTGTCCATCAAGGCCCCTTCCCAAAACACAACACGACAAATGAGTGACCTACATTTTACCTAGCAAACGAACAATGAGAGGAATATTTTGGCGAAGCTCACTGATCATAAAGAATGTACTTGTGAGCTGAAAAGAGGCGGTGCGGGTTTTCTGCATGGCTTCTCGGGGAATGGCACTGCAGCAGGGCGTGGTGCAAAATGGAGCGTAAGTGGGTCACATCTTCACGGCTGCATTATAGATGGAGCCCCATGTATAATTCAGCAAACCAGTGACTTCGGTGCTTTGAGGAGCGTTTTAAGTGGCCAATCCCAAAACTGTAATTTAGCAGAACAATCAAGGGAGCGTTTAGAGATAGTACGCTCACTAAGCTAAAGCCAAAAAAAGATCTTTGATTTGGATTTTTAAAATATCAAAATTGCTAAAGTGAGTGAAGCACTAATAATATGGAAAGATATAACCTTCTGGGGTGACGTGGTGGCGCAGTAGGTAGTGCTGTCGCCTCACAGCAAGAAGGTCACTGGTTCGACCCTCGGCTGGGTCAGTTGGCGTTTCTGTGTGGAGTTTGCATGTTCTCCCCGCGTTTGCGTGGGTTTCCCCCAGGTGCTTTGGTTTCTCCCACAAGTCCAAAGACATGCGGTACAGGTGAATTAGGTAAGCTAAAATTGTCCGTAGTGTTATGTGTATGAGAGCATATGGGTGTTTCCCAGTGATAGGTTGCAGCTGGGAGGCTATCCACTGCATAATACATATGCTGGATAAGTTGGTGGTTCATTGCGCTGTGGTGACCCCAGATTAATAAAGGGACTAATCCGAAAAGAAAATAAACGAATGAATAAATGAATACCCTACTGGTCAAAAATGTAGATTTTTTTTGTTTTTGGAAAAAACTATAGTGAGGTTGAGTTTTGAATTAGAATTTAAAACAATTGTTTACACGATTCCCAGCTATTGAGTGGCTGCATATCGCTGGTAAACACACAGATCTGCCATTACATGGACTACAAATCCCAGTCATGCACCGCTCACACGCACATGTTCCAGATTCCACTGATTGCGCACACTCACAGCCGGAGGATCCTCATAGACCAATTACAATGACTATATAGACAGCAAACACGCACAAATTATAGCTGAGTCTTGTTTATCTGTACCTGTGAACATTACGATGCGTTTTCCTTGCCTAGTTTTTCCAGTTTTGACCCTCACTTTGCTTTGTTTGTTTTTTGTTTATCCCTGTGCGCTGCCTGCCTTCTGACCTCTTCTTGCCTGTTATTTTGGCTACATATCTGGATTTCCAATATACATCTGTTTGTTTCTGTGTTGATTTTTGCTTGCCTGACCATCCTGCTATTAAAACCTGCATTTGGATCCACACCATGTGTATGCTATTTTCAATGCTATATTATGACAATTTGTAACTTTTTGATTTAGTGGCTAGTTTGTGCGAATTAATATAATCTCATTCATACAATTTAGTATGATTTGATCATCCCCAATGATGATTGGGTTCAGGGGTGGGATTTTATGCCACGCCTACTTGAATTTGTACATTTTTGTAAGACTGAACTAGTATTAATTAGCCACTAAACTGACAAAACGTAAAATAGTTATGTTTCCTTGTGAGGATCAATCTGGTTATTTCACATTAAACATAAAAGTAACCTATTCTTTGCCATAAAAGTTAAATTACTGAACCTACATCCAATGGCATAAAATGCTCATTTAAGAATACATTTCAGACAGCATTTAATTTTGTGAGTTTTTGTATCTAAACTCCTATGAATATATGTTAAATTAAATTTGCAATCTATTTGTTTGATGCAAAGCTGAATTTTCAGAAAAATTACTCAAGTATGCATTGTCATATCATCCTTCAGAAATAATCTTTCGTTTACAGTTATAGTTATCAGCATCTTAAATCCTTGCAAGTTTTAAATATTTTGATTATTAAAAAGTATGAACATTTATATATATTTATGTATATTTTATATCATCTTTGCATCAAATTACAAAAAAAAATTACAGTGTGTGCAAGGCGATTGTACCGCAATGTGTGTATAGGGGCGGGACAGTAAATTTGATGTTGTTCTCTCTTCTGGCTGCCGTTATTAGTCTTACGCAATTTTTTTTTTTTCTGAAAGTCTCGATAGCATCATCGTGAAGTTTTTCTTTTATTATTTCAGCAAATCAAATGGCAAATTTTTTTTGCTGTACTCTCCCATTCACTGCACTTTATGTTTACCCAACTATGATGACTTCCGCAACTGAGGTCCATTACATCATGATTTACTGCTCAATCATTTATAGTGACTAATAAATAAAAATGTTTCTTTTTATTGACATGACTTTTAAAAACTTGAAAGTTGTTACGGATTTATTTATAATTTTTTTGCAATGAACTTTATAATTTATGATGCTGTACAAAAAAAAATCACCAATCAGAGAAACTCACAAAGCAAAACTTGTCAAAATAGCTTTCTAGCTCCACCCACTCCCTTGAAGCATACTTCAATAAACACACTACAAAATGATTTGTAATAAACTTGAAATATACGATTTCTAAAGATACAACCAACAACATTGAATTTTAACTTATACTTTAATTTCTAAATAATTATTATAATTTATAAATTTGAATTTATACTTTGATTCTCAATGCTTTATGGCAGGGGTGTCAAACTCAACTCTTGCACAGCCATGCACAGTTTAGTTCCAACCCTGCTTTAATACATTTACCTGGAGGTTTAAAACAACCCTGAAGGACTCAATTAGTGATCAGGGGTGTTTAATTAAGCTTAAAGCAAAACTGTGCAGAGCTGTGGCCCTCCAGGAATTGAGTTTGACACCTGTGCTTGGATCTTAGTTCTTACCCTGATTAAAGCTGTTAAGTACACAATATTGTATCTATGTCTATGTCGGATTTTCAAACCCAAAAACATAAGTATTTCTAATATCTACATGCTACTTCATAGTTTCCTACCATGTTCTGCTCTGCGCTGTAGCACTCAATAAAGCGGTTGGGATGCTCATTTTTAAAGATTTCAGAGAAGGTGAAGTTTTTGGTGTCGACATCCATCGCCACAACTCGTTCGTTGTAACGCCCCAGTTTGGCCACAGCCATCCCATACCCCTTACATGTGGCGACCTGATGGAAAGAAGATTGGTGGATAGAGTTAAGGCAAGGCAAGTTTGTTTATATAGCACACTTCATGCACAATGGTCATTCAAAGTGCTTTACATAAACAAGAATGAAAGAAACAAATATAAAACAATTAAAACAACAAAGAATAAAAATGATTAAAAACAGATTAAAATGTGCTAAAACAGGTTTTAAAGGATTGGAAAACAAAAGAAAGACATAATAACGCGATCTGTTGAACATACAGCAGCACAGTGCAGATTCGGTAAAGGCACAGCTAAACAGATGTGTTTGAACTCTTGATCAGATGTGCTCCAACATTAGGCACATTCAAATCATCTCTGGAGGCTGATTCCAGCAGCGGTTTGACAAAGAGTTAGACAAAGATATTAAACCAATCTACCATCCGTCAAGCCGTCTCACCTTCTCTCCAGGTTTGTAGCTGGGGGCGCTGGGCATGCGGATGTTGCGCAGACTCACGGGTGGAGCGTCCTCGACGGGTGAAGCCGGGTACATGCGCTTGTTACTGTTCATTATGCGGCTCTGAATGTCTCTCATCACGTTCTCCGCCATGTCCTTTGACAGCACCTTGCCATGCCATCCCATCTTATCTTCTGCCACTGTGGACAAAGATTGAATGAGTTTTTGATTAAATATTACTTGAAACTAACACAGCTTAAAAAATTGGATGTGCATTGATTGACTGTGGAAGTTGTTGGAAAATGGGTGGGGCTTAAAGGTCCTGTGAAGTGCTTTGAAATGTGCAATGTTTTATTCAATGTTTGACGTAATCTCAACCAAAACATAAAGAGAGGGTGGGACATCATGTAGCTCCTCCCCTTTTAAAAAACAGCCAATAGGATTTTGCTTTATCATCGCTCTATAAGTAAGAACTGTTGAGCTCAAGTACATCAAGTGTAAAGCAAATTGAAAAGGCGGGGTATGTTAGATTCTAAGGAGCATTTGATTGGAAGAGATTTGATGAGAAACTGTATACTTCAGTTTGGCCAAATCTTGGCCAATCAAATACTCTCCAGAAACTGATATGCCCCGCCCCCCTTTAAAAACGCTTGAAGACGATGTGAATAAAACCATTCATCTATTTAAATGGAAGTGACAAACTACAAGTTTTACATGTTTATATACATTTTATATCTTCTAAATGCTAGTTTTGTCACTGTTTTGGTGCACACTAGCTTATAGATATCCTAAAAATTTAAAATACTGATACTAAAATCTAAAAATCCTTTAAAAGGAAGAATTGTAATTGTCTTTCTGTTGCATGTAGAATAGAAGCTAAATTGTGGTCTCTATGACAATATATTTTCACATATAACAATATGTTTTTTTTTTTATAATAAACACCTTTGAAAACCACAAAGCAAAAAAAGTAGGAGGTGTTGTAAAATGGAAGGGGCTTAAAATAAAGAATTCTAAATAGAGAGCGTCTGTTAACAAGGATAGAAGTTAAATTGGGGTCTCTATAACAATCGGAAGTTGGGGAGCATTGATGTGGTTGACTTTAAGAGAAATGTTGAAAAATGGGCGGGGCTTAAAATAAAGAATTGTAATTTGAGAGTGTCTGACTGTTAACATGGTGGATTGAAGTTAAATTGTGATTTCTATTTCAAAATGAAGCATTTCCTATAGGTGGTTTTGAATGGGTTTGGATCAAAGATTACTTTTCTAGTTTTTTTAAAGATACAAAAAAAAGTGTGCAGACATTAATTGACTTTGTGCAAGGTGTTTGGAAATGGGCAGAACTTAAAACAAAGAATTGTAATTAGAGAGTGTGTCTGTCTGTTACCTGGTTGGTAGAACTTAGATTATGGCCTGTAAAATAAAAGGTTGAAGTACTTATAGGAAGTAATGGGAAGAAATGTACCAGGAATGCCTTTGCCCTTGATGGTCTTGGCGATGATAGCGGTGGGCTGGTGGCGAGGTTGGCTCATGGCTTTACACAGCTCCTCCACACTGTGGCCGTCCACAATGATGGCATGCCACCTGATTACACAACAAACAATGGATTGATTGATGGCTTTACACTGCAAACACATTTGTATAACTATCTTTGTGAGACCTGCCAGAGAATTTCATTATTTATATATGGACCCAATAGTATTTTCTGCTCCACCCCTAAACCTAATCCTCACACATTTTTATTTTATTTTCCAAATGAAGTCAAGTGTCTTTCTCAAGAGCTCAGGGTAACACTTTAATTAAATATAGTAAATATAGTATAGATATAATTTAATTACATCTATATTATTAGCTATAAAGCTGGGGATCACCAATCTCGGTCCTGGAAAGCCGGTGTCCCTGAAGAGTTTAGCTCCAACTTGCCTCAACACACCTGCCTGGGTGTTTCAAGTATAGCTTGATTAGCTTGATCAGGTGTGTTTGATTAGTGTTGGAGCTAAAATCTGCAAGACACCGGCCCTCCAGGAACAAGTTTGGTGACCCCTGCTATAGAGTATGATCTTATTTTACATCCCTAATCCGAACCAATACCTAAACCCAACTACTATCTTACTAACTGTTAATGAGCAGCTAATTAGCAATTTATTGCGCTAAAATTCCTAGTTAATGGTTTGTAAACAGCACAAATTTTGACTTAACTTGTTTCCGAGTTCAGTAATGAAGCTCGTGGCTCTGAAACCACAGCAGTGCTTTAAATTACAGTCTAAACCTCATCTCCAAACCTACCCGAAGGCCTCACAGCGTCTCTGGTACTTCTCCACATGGTGCTGCAGTGGTGCTGGGTCACTCTGGCCCAGCCGGTTGATGTCCAGTATGGCCATCAGATTATCCAGTTGGTAGTAGGAGGCGAAGGCCATGGCCTCCCATACGGCGCCCTCAGACATCTCTCCATCGCCCAGCAGACAGTACACACGGTAACTGCAATCAAAGGCAATGCATCTTCTGACAACAATGCTGCTTCATGTGCAAATATGCTGCCATGGAAGTGGGTGTTGCTGTGTAGTTAAGCTGTGCGGAGTGTAATTTAACACATTGCTATGCGGTTACCAGGTCAATTTGTGAGGTGTTCTGGGGTATTGTTTATTGCTGTTTCTTTCTTTGACTTCTCAGTCTGCCTGATTTATAGTCCCTAAACTCTTTCTAAACATTTTGAAGCTAAGACTTATATTTTAAATGTGTGTGTGCTTGTTTTGTTCAATTTTTAGGCCAAGACAGTTTACTCACTAAAGCTAAGCAGGGCTGAGCCTAATCAGTGGATGGGAGACCACATAGGTTGGAAGTGGTATTAGTGAGGCCAGCAGGGGTTGCTAAACTTACGTCTGTGTGAGTCCTAATGCCCCAGTATAGTGAAGGGGACACCATACTGTCAGTGAGCGCAATCTTTCAGATGAGACGTTAAACCAAGGTCCTGACTCTCTGTGGTCCCAGGCCAAATTCCCTCGACTGAACATGGCCCTAACTGATCATGGCCTCCCAATCATTTCCATCCACCGAATTGGCTCTATAACTGTTTCTCCACTCCCCCAATAGCTGGTGTGTGGCGAGCGCATTGGCATTGTTGTCCTGTGGCTGCCGTCGAATTATGCAAGTGGATGCTGCACACTGGTGGTGGTGTGGAGAGATTTGATAATAATTCAATGTTGCTGTTATATATTTATATTGATTGTGTTGATACATTGTTTTTATAATTTTTCAGTTTTAAAAATTTTCAGTTTCCTTGGATTTATGATTATTTATTGAATGATTAAATATATTGGTTTTACTCTGTAAACTAATAAAAATTCAACATCTTAATTTCTTTTTGGCACAAAAAAAGTACTTTCAGGTGTATTGTGGAATAATACTGATTTTCAATTCAAACAATTGAAAACACAGTTTACACTGATTAATAGCTTTTTAAAAAATGCTCTATATAACAATATTATTACTTGAAAAATAACACTTGAAAAATAAAGCTTGGAAGAAGAGCTATCCGAACATAAATATTTATTTAAACCCATTTCTAATAAGTCCAGTAAATCCACCTGAAAAACATTTAGGAGGAATTTTCATCTTTTTTAATAGCAGTAAATATAAAGTATATTCAGTACTCCGCATAAATGAGTATACCCAATTTTGAAAATTATTATTTTATACATTTATTATTAATATAAGTAATACAGTTGTATTAAAAAAGTTAAATTCATTAAAATAATAGTTTAAATGACCAAACATTTTTAGAAATAGAAGAACAATACATTTAGATGCAAACAAAATATTGCCAAAAACAATTACAAACTACAACATTTCAACAAAAGTTTACACATACGAGCAATTCCATGCAAATGTCAACCTTGCCACAAAAAAAAATTCGTCAAAATATCGAAACCGTTTCTGAGTTTTTTGTGTGAGCAAGTATTTTAAAGTGCACTAAAAATGCTCAAAATATCTGTTAATGTTTTCAAACTATTATATTTGATTTACCAAAATTACATTAGTGGTAATTACACATCTGTCTCATCCATAACACAGCTTTTTCCTCATGAATGCAAAAAATGTCAAATAAAGTAAAGAAAATTTTATTAAACAGATGTTTTACTATAATGTTAACATATACTTTCTATGTTAATTTATGTTTTGAGATTATACTGCAAATGTCACTAGAATTACTCATGTATTTTTGTTTCTCTTGATGTTTCTTCTTTTGTCAAATTTTATTTAATATTCTTTTATCTGACATATAAAAGTAGGACTAATAGTTTTTAGGGTGAGTTATTTTGTTAGATTAGCTCCAGATTTGGCTTCATGACTGATTGATCTAATATACTGTATATGAACAAATATAATACCTTATAGCACAGATGTCAAATCCAGTTCCTGGAGGGCCACAGCTCCTTCAGGCTTGTTTGAAACCTACAGATAAGTGTGTTGAAGCAGGGCTGGAACTAAACTGTGCAGAACTGCAGCCGTCCAGAAATTGGATTTGACACCTGTGCTCTGTAGCATCTTGTACCAAATATTAATTTAAAAGATTTGTGATGGGTGTACTAATATATGCTGGGCACTGTATATATATATATATATATATATATATATATATATATATATATATATATACACCACAAAACCAAAGTTATTCAATTATGCAAAAATTACTAACTTAAAAAATGTTTAACATACTTTGAGAATAATACAACAACATTTAAAGATCATACTGACCCTAAACCCAACATTTCACAATCCAAAATGATTCAAAAGGGTATTTTGTTTTGGCTTGTGAGCTGATGTGTTAAACCACATCACCACCGCCCTCTTTAACACCACCTGACACTTTAACACCCCTGTCACACAAGTTTTACTGTCTTTACGAATGAGAGGAGATGAATTCAATTGATTAGAAATCAGCTAGGATTTGAGTCAAATAGCTCTTACACAACAGCAGTCGTGCTTCCTCGTTCTATCCAACAACACTCACATGGATGCTGCATTTAAGGGCTTTAGCAATGCATGATAGAGAATTAACCACATTTTAAAGAATATACATAAAAAATAGGCTTAAATTTAAGAATACATTTGTGCAGCTATCCCCAAAACTGAATTCTATCCAAGATATAAAAATAACCGAGGGATGGCCGCTGGGGCTTTGATTATTAGAGCAGAAGAATCGCAAAAAATCCACACCCTTAAAATCCGCAGCACAATCTCACGTGGATATACAGATCACAGAGAGCACTCAAAGACACACTGATCAAACTGATTACAAATACTTGCAATGCATTTTTTCATTCATATCTTTTACTGATGCTTTTCACATTTAAATATTATATTTAAGGTTGGCATTGAATGATATGAATTAAAATATATATTTTTTCTAACTTATTTATTTAAGAAAATTACACTTGCTAAGAGTTTAAATAGTTTGCATTTGCAGTAATTAAATATCTGGGTTATTCTACCATATATTGATTTTATGAATATTTAAAGGGCACATAGGTTACCCCTTTTTCATATTTAATATAAGTCTTTTGTGACCCCAGAATGTGTCTGTAAAGTTTCAGCTCAAAACACCCATCAGAGTATTTATTATAGCTGTTTGAAATGTCTGTATTATAGCTGGGAAAAGGTTGTTGCTGTTTTTTTGCACTGGGCCTTTAAGGCGAGTCATCCCCACCCACCGATCCCACGTGCTTGTCAGCAGCATGCCTCAACACGCCCTCGGCTGCCTCAGGAAGCAGATCTCACGTAACGTTAGTGAGAAATACTACAGTACGAACTTTACCATCAGCATTTGATGCATTTTTTTGTGGAGTTGCAACAATGAGTTCCCGCACACACAGTGCAGTCCTGTCTTGTCTATATGAGTATATGCATAACTATGGAGACATGTTAATGCCCGCAGCTGTCAATCAATATTGGTGGGCGGGGGACCGCACTCCTACGTAAAGTTACGGTCGATCTGAAAACCACTCTAATTGGTCCACCGTTTATATGTTGTTACATTTAAAAAAAAAAGGACTGGGTGTGTTTATATCACCCCAATATGACATACACTATACTTACACGCATGTATGTCCAAACAGCTTGAAAAGTGGATTTTTCACCATAGGTGCCCTTTACCTCTTCTGAAGTTGAAACAATGATACTTTTTTGCCTTAAAATTTACATAATCATCTAGGCCTGCACAATATATTGTTTCAGCATCGATATTGCAATGTGATCATTCGCAATAGTCACATCGTAAGTACTGTATATGCAATGTTGAGTTTGGATTGTAATTTATAATTTTGCAAGTGTTTTTTTTTAAGCCGGTGACTGTGTGAGGGTTTTAAAATCATTTAGGCATAATAGAAAATGTGCTGTTTTCATTCATTTTATGATATTGTTCATGAAACGAAGACTATGCAGTATTTGATTATTCAATTAACTAAATACATTTTGACTCTTCGGAAAACAATAAAATATTGTATATTTAATCAGCATATTTTTCTTTATTGAATTTATCTATGCTTGTAGAGTTTTTTTATACAAATATTGTGCTTAATAATATAAATATTATGCTTATTATACAAAACAGATTGCGCTTAAGTGCTATACAAATATTATTATATTTCATGCACACCCCTACTGAATCTTCCCAATCAATTTATAATGATTTTTTACAAACATTTATTCAACTCATATGAGAGTAAAATATGTTTTACTTAATATTATTATAATTTTTTTTGTATTTTATCTTAATATTATATATTTATTTTTATAGAACCTAAATGTATATGTGTGCGATGGGTTTTGTTTGTTTGTTTGTTGTTTGTTGCTATTTGTACTGTATGTTTCATATCTAATGTTTAATAAATTACTTTTAAATAAAAAACAAAAACATTTATTCAATTCTTCTAGTGAAATTGTATTCCCATTGCAGGATGGAGGAATGGAGGAATAAAAAAATATCGCAATGTGTAATTTTTCCAGTATTGAGCAGGCCTATAATCATGCATAAAACCAAAATAAATATGCAAAAATTAAAGAAAATGTCAAAATAAAATGACCAAATTGTATTTTAAATTTGGAAAAAAAAATTATCAGCTTGATCAACTTAAGGAGTTACAAATAATATTAAGCAATTAATTAATTAAAAATAATAAATCGAGAAAAAGATCAATTTCCAATTGGTTTAAAACAAATAATACTAAATTACAATAGTATCTAAATACTTATATAACACTGAATATAACAAAACCTTCTTTGTCGACAAGTGTATCAAATTCTGGCAAATATTCCAGTAAACGATGTATATTCTGTTCTCATGAATGTATGTCTTTATTCTTACCTAGATTTGTCAAAGTATTTGGCCGTATATGCCATTCCACAGGCTACGCCCAGCCCCTGTCCCAGAGAGCCTGTGGCCACATCCACAAACTGCTGCTTCTGTCAAACACACACACACACACACACACACACACACACACACACACACACGTGCCTGTTACATAAAATAACTGCTGCCATTAGTGAACGGCTCATTGGCTGCAGCCAGTTTAACCTGAACATTCATTTCTGTCCCAATGAACTGCAGTGTTTCTTAGTGATCACTGTTTCCCAATGAACACAGTGATCTTAGAGAAAGTCTCATTCAGACTCGATGTGACACACACACACACACACACTGTTTGCACCTGGCAATAAGATGCAGTATGATCAGTCGGATTACAACCATACTAGAGAGACACATTCCCATTCACACAAGTCATTATGATAGATCTTTGTCAATGGGTGGGAATATTTAAAGCCTTTTCTGAACTTTTAGTTTAATATTACAAAATAAGCTTGTAAATAGTGGACAGTGTACAGTAAAAAAAAAAAAAAAAAAAAAGATTTTAAGAGTTACTAATTTTTGCTCAAGGTTTATACAGTTAAATAATTGTTAAAACAGCAAAATCAAGTAGACACAGTATACTTTATGAATTGAATAATTTAAGTATATATATATATATATATATATATATACACACACACACACACATTATTTCTTGTGAGTTTCTAATTCTTTATAGTGTTTAAACATTTATTTACATGATTCAATATGTTTTATAATGTACAAAGTAATTAAATTGAATAAATATCACAAATAAAATGCAAGAGGTCCGATGTTTTATTCACACACACACACAAAAAAAAATAGGTGACGTTTGTTTATAAACTAATTTCGAGAGGATCAAAATGATTAACAACATATTTGTACCTAGGACAAACATTCAAATATTGTATTTCAACAAAGAAATCCATGAATACACTGACACTGACGAGAGCTGATCTCTGAAGGCAATGCTATATTTAAAATCTAATTTATAGTTTAACTTATTATGGAAAAATCAAAACGTAAATATGTAACTGTCAATTCAGGACAATATTAACTGGGGGATTTTTGCATTTATTTAATAATTCATATTATAATAAGCCTGTGGTTCATGTGTGTGTGTGTGTGTGTGTGTGTTACTCACGGGTGTGGGGTGTCCCTCCAGAGTGGAATCCACCTGGCACATACTCAGGAGCTCAGACTCCTTCAGGAAACCAATTTCCACCCATACAGAGTAGAGCACAGGAGCTGCATGACCCTGAGGATTGACATAATAACATATCAATGGGTCAGATTAAATGCCATTATCCAGCAATTCTTTAACAACTCAAATAAAAACTATCAAATCTAGTGTTATTAAAACATAGGTAACACACTTTACAATAAGGTTAAGTTAATATTACTTACATGTAATGTACTTACTAACATGAACAATACATGTGCATTACTTATTAATTGTTCAACATTTACTAAAGTATTATTAAAACCAAAAGTTGTGCTTGTTAACATTAATTGATGCACTGTTACTAATAACAAAGAATGAATTTTCATTAACTAATGCTAACAAAGATGAATAAGTACTGTAATAAAATCAAAAAATGTGTTCATGTTTGTAAATATATCAACTAACATAAAGTGTAAACATATACTTGTACTTTAAATGATTATAATAATAATAATTCCTTACATTTTACATAGCGCTTTTCTGGGCACTCAAACCCCTACTCTTTTTCCAAGGACATCCTGGGATTTTTAACACCCACAGAGAGTCAGGACCTCAGTTTAACATCTCATCCAAAAGTCGGCGCTCACTGAAGCAGTATAGTGTCCCGCTTGCTATACTGGGGCATTAGGACCCACACAGACTGCAGGTCGGGCGCCCCCTGCTGGTCTCACTAACACCACTTCCGGCAGCAACCTAGCTTTCCTATGTGGTCTCCCATCCAGGTTCTGACCAATCGCAGCCCTGCTTAACTTCAGTGGGCGACCATGTGAGAGTTGCAGAGAGCTAGCTGCCGACTATATTTATATGTTATATTACCATTATCAAACTTAAAATTTCTTTGCATGTTGCATGTTATATTATGTTGCACAATATAATAAACCAGTCACAGTGAAAATGTGCCATGTTTTTTCTTGTACCATGCTGTGCATTGTTTGCCATAATATTCATCAAAATACATTAAAGTATTTAATAAACATTATATTACAGGGATAGTTCACCCAAAACTGCAAATTAAGTCATTTACAGACCCCTCACAAATCAAAAATCTTTTCATTCTCCTTTTAAACATAAACAAATATGTTCATGGTTGAAAATGTTACCCATTGACTTCCATTGTATTAATTTTTACTGTGAATGCAAATGGTTACCAGTTTCCAAGCTTTCTTTAAAATATATTTTTACCTTTAACAAAATAAAGAATTGATTGATTGATTGATTGATTGATTGATTGATTGATTGATTGATTGATTGATTGATTGATTGATAAATGTTTGGAACCACTTGAGGCTAAATAATTAGTGAGTATTTTAATATTATTTTATGGTGAACTACATGGGCATTGCTAGGCCTATTTTAGGGGGGCTGTAGCCCCCCTATATTTCTATTCAGCCACCCTAAAACGTTTGCGATTAGCTCATAAACTGTACTATAATTTATCACCCCAGTCGCCTTTAAATTTGATAAGAAAACGATGGCAGAATACGGCTCCACCCATTCTTTTTTTTCACTTGATGAGCAAACCACAGCCATGGACAGAGAGAACGAGGTGTGTGTTTATTGATAATTTGTTATAACATCTGCTTAATTGCAGTTCTGTGATATAGATAACCGTGTATCACCTGTATCCCAATGTCACGGAGGAGCAGTCGGGTTTTCTCGGCGTTCACCTTATCAGCACAACTATTACCTCCAGTGAAAAATGTAATTCTTAACGAACATTTCGCTATTATTATTTCAAAATGAACTACCAATATTAAACTCTTTACAGTTTGTGTGGCATTAACTATACCATACAGTCTTGCACAGAAAGGATTAAACAGTGACAGAAGCACTTGGAGAATGTACTCATTATAACTGTCACTAAGTCACTGACAGAGATAGAAACAACTAGTGTTGTCTAGAATAAAAATAAACACTTCCTATTTATTACTATCATTGAGATCGTGAAATATGCGAATTAGCCTTGGAAAGTAAAAATATGTGTGTGTAATTTAATTAGAAAAGTGGCAGTTTATTTATTTAATACATAGAAACAAAAAATGCACTTGAATATAGAAAGTGTTTTTTTACTACAGTAAACAGGTGGGTTGAGCCTATTTGGCTTATTCAGAACTCAAATACTTATACAGAACTCTAATACAGTGGAATACTACAGTGGAATACTACAACCCTACCATATTAAACAAACATTTTTAAGTGGATTACTATTAAATTACTACTTATAAATGTAATATTAGGCTTTGTGTATGTACAGTATATAAATTACCTTATAAGGATGAAAATCCTAAAATCGTCCCTGGTGAACTATCTCTTTAATGGTTCAGTAGCTCTGTATTCTTAAAAGTACTCAACTACAAGACTATTGTTGGCACTGTATCAAGGAGACCCAACACCATATAATGTCATTGTGCTACTTAGTGTCATCTTGATTTAAAGGTGAAATATTAGAGCTTAGACCTGAATAATCCAGCGAGCTCACCTTGGACAGGATGAAGCGGTCATTATTGGGGTTTTTGGGGTCATCCGGCCTGTACTTCATGGTATGGAAAAACAGCACAGACATGATCTCCGCCACACTGCAACATGACGTCGGATGCCTGACAAAGTAAAACACATACAATATCCAATGACACAGACATTTTTATTATGTTAGTAATATGGTTTGTTGTTTTTAGTCCTCAAAGTGGATCGAAAGACCAGCCAAATGTCTGTCAGACCAGATACAAATGTAAAGTAAAAAGTTGTGACAATTCAGTGTGTGCGGTCAAGTGAGATTATGACCTATTAAAGTATTCATTCTAACGATATTTTCGTTAAATATTGCAAAATAAAAAGCCCCTCACCGTAGAAAAACGAACTTTCTTCTCCTGTCAGGTCATTACGCACGCGCGCGCAAGTACGAATGCGCACGCTCTTTAATTGCGCGCTCAAGTGCGAAGGCGCGCGCCGGATATCACTTCATCATGAATAAAAGCTCAAAATATAAATTGCGAATTGCACTTATTTATGCTGTCAATGAGTACGTTAAGAAATTACAAAAAAACTTGGATATTCAGGGAAACTCGTAGCTACTATGACGGAATGATTTGCATGCAGGTAAGACATTCCAAGAGCAGTTTACATGTTACTTTGTATATATGTAATTCTGTATGCTTTTAAATATTATTTGCCTCATATCAACTTACATTACTGTATTAATAAAAGTTAGTATGGGACTCTTGGGACTTTTTATTCGTCAGTATTAGTCTTTCAGTTTATATGTAAAGTAGCCCATTTCAATATTATGTGTGGACAGTGCTCAAACATGAAATTAAATTGGGATTTAATTGTGCTTCTTTCTTTTTAAAAAAAATGTTCACATATTTTAGAAATTGGGTTATTTAAAAAAAAAAAACATAACATTTGGTTATTAGATGCTTAATTACTAAAAGAAAGTGTAGATCCCATGGCCAAACCACTGGTTTGTTATATAATGTCTGTGAGTTGCACACAAAGGGCAAATAACTGAATTTGTCACGTCAAAATAAGACAATTAGTGATGTTTATCTAAAAGGATGCCAAAGGTGATGTTTAATCCAAGATGCCCCTGCGTCCGGTACCACACTTGTGGCATAATCCAAATCTTTGAGCAAACATACCACCCACTAACATCCATCTGCTTTAAGATTAGGTCACAGACAGCATTTAAAATCAAGTCTGACACGCTACCAGACCACCACAAATGATCAGATATTGATGGTTAAATCAGGGATTTTCAATGCAAAGCTCTGTCATTTTCAGATTTCAGATATGAACAACTGCAGCATTTGGATTCATGCGGCAGTTTACATAACAGCTCAGCAGGACCAACAGAAAACACGCTTCGCCCAGGGGAAAGAACATGCAGCTTCATATGTGCATGAAACAAAGGAGATGAAATGAGGATCCCATTTTATAAAGAAGTTTACTGTTTCAAAACACACTCTCAGTTTTTTAACTCAAAACTGTCAAGACAGAAAAAAGAGCATGAAGATAATGACATTTTAGAAAAACAATAGCAAATTCTAAATTGCTTTATTAAATACTAAATATCAATATAATACATAGCTACTACTTTTGGATTATTTTAGGCATTGTCATTATATACTGCAGAAATCGAACTTGAAAAATATAAAATAACCTCTACTACTAGGCTACCTCTAATAATAATAGCAAATCACGCACAGAGGAACCACAATATTACTGCCTTAATGTATCTATATAATAATGTTTAATAAGACATTTAAAGCTCGATTTATACAAACAGCATGACATTTAATCCGAATTTTTCTTCATGAAAAAGCCAAATATATTGAATATTCAATTGAATATTCTTCTATGTATGCATATATGCATATATGCATATATATATATATATATATATATATATATATATATATATATATATATATATATATATATATATATATATATATATATTTATATATATATATATATATATATAATTATCTTATATGTGTTTAGCATTGTTCTCAAACCTTGCAAACATTAAATTTTAGGAAAAATGCAGGAGATTTAATCGTAATGCAAAAATAAAATAACAATTTAAATACAAATTGAGAACATGATTAAAATAATTACAATTTTTATTTAATTTTTGCATGAAATTACAACTGAGTGTTTCTTTATTTAATATACAGGGGGGAAAAACGATAGTAGTTATTATATTTTTAATGTATTTAGTACTGTTTTGATCATAATAGAAAAATATATTAGTTATATTAAAACAATGCACTATGGACAAAACAGTTGCTGTTCAAATAAATTAAACTTTTAAAGCTTGCTTTATATAAGATGAATGAAATTAAATTGATAAAATGACAATGAAAAAATGAAATAAAAGTATTTACTACATTATGTAAACATTTTGTACTTAGTATTGTTCTCAAAATGACAAGAGTCAAGGTAAAAAATAATACTAATAATTAGAAAGAGAAGCATACACACAAAAAAGTTCAAACAAATTACAATATCATACTTCTGCAGAGCTCATAATAATGCAAGAAATGCACAAAAAAAAACAATCAAAAATCCGAAATAAAATTGAACGTGTCTCTTATTCAAGCTGCATAACCTCCCATCTGTCTGCTTAGATTTTGAGGGCAAAGATTATGCCCATTGCATAAGGGTACGCATGCAAGAGTTTGTCTATTTGTCTATCTATCTATCTATCTATCTATCTATCTATCTATCTATCTATCTATCTATCTATCTATCTATCTATCTATCTATCTATCTATCTATCTATCTATCTATCTATCTATCTATCTATCTATCTATCTATCTATCTATCTATCTATCTATCTATCTATCTATCTATCTATCTATCTATCTATCTATCTATCTATCTATCTGTGATAAATGGAAGTCTCATGGAGCATCAGCAGGTGTAGTTTACAAAGCGTCCAGCATCTCTCACCCGTTGCCCACAGCAGTGGTGGCTTTGATGGAGTTGATTCGGAGGCGGTTGGCGATGTTCCTGAGCGCCTGCACCGTCTGCTGGTCTGGTTTGTGATAGTCCTCCATGAGTTCGGCCCGACAGCAGCACAAAGTGAAGGAGAGATGGAGCTTGAGGAGCAGCGGCTGCGTGTGTGTGAGAGAGAGAATGAGAAAGAAGGAGGAGAAGAGAGGGAGGCTGCTTTATGACAGCGCACATACAATGCACACACTTCACTATGAGCCGCAGCACAGGTCGAGACAGAGAGAGAGAGAGAGATAGACAGACAGAAAAATTCAGAGAGAGGGGGGAGGGGGTGGGGGAAAGTAAAGAGAGGGAGACCAGACAGACCAAGGCCAGACAGACTGACTGACTGACTAACAGAGAGAGAGAGAGTAAAGAGAAAGAATCACTCATTCTGACCTCTGACTGCTGCATTTAAACTCATTACCAGATTAATGATGCTCCTTTCAGACCTTCTGACAGGATGTGTGTTTGTGTCTGTGCGTGTTTGTGCGTGCAGGTCTGGGTTTAGGCTACTTGGCTTGCTTAGGGATAAATCTGTTAGTCAAGTTAGTCAAATCTGACCAGGATTATTATTGTTAAATATAACTAAAACCCAGTTTCTGTTATTTTGGAATTTGATAATAAACATTTACTGAAAAAACACACATCTATTTCAGCCATAGCTGAATAAAGATATTTCTCTGTATATTTATATAATAGGGGCGGCTCACAACAAGAAGGTCGCTGGTTCGAGTCCCAGCTGGGTCAGTTGGCATTTCTATGTGGAGTTTGTATGTTCTCCCCATATTGGTGTGGGTTTCCTCTGGGTGCTCCAGTTTCCCCCTCAGTCCAAACACATGCGCTATAGGTGAATAGGGTAAAACAAAAATTGTCTGTAGTGTGTGTGTGTGTGTGTAAATGTGGGTGTATGGGTGTTTCCCAGTGCTGGGTTGCGGCTGTGAAAGGCATCCGCTGCTTGAAACATATGCTGGAATAGTTGGTGGTTCATTCCGATGTGGTGACCCCTGATAAATAAGGGACTAAGCCAAAGGAAATCGAATGTGACAGTTTTTCTCAGTGGCTTTGGTGCATTTCTCACAACACGCTTTACATTCGCACAACAGTTAATGCATTTGTCAAAACAATCAGTGCAAACTGCAAAACCTAACATTCAAAAGCGCCTCACTTGCTTAAAATGGAGAGCTCATTCCTCAAAAGCAAGTATTGATGTCAATGAAAGTGTCAGAGTCATCAAGATGAAAAATCCTGACTCCATTGTTTATGAATAAGATAGTCAAATGGCTTTGTCATGTTTTCATTATGAAAGTTTACTCTGTTCATTTTGTCCAATGCAAAAAAAGTCAGATTTTGGTGAGACTTCCTGAAAATGCTCAAGACAGCACTATACTATTCACACAGCCATTTAAACACTACAGTAAAGTTAGACATCACTGCATTAGTGAGATATCTGAGTACAAAACACTGAATATGTTCATTCATTCATTTTCTTGTCGGCTTAGTCCCTTTATTACAGTTTTTCTCAGTCGCTTTGGTGCATTTCTCACAACACTATTTACATTTGCACAATGGATGATGCATTTCTCAAAACTATTAGTCATTTGTGCACATTCTAATAGCAGTTTCTCATTCCTTCCAACAAATTGTGAATGCTTTTGGACATGCATCAATTGCTTTCTCACAACTCTCTGCTATTCATAACATTATCATTTGCTTATGTCATTCATTCATTAATTTTCTTGTCGGCTTAGTCCCTTTATTAATCCGGGGTCGCCACTGCTGAATGAACCGCCAACTTATCCAGCAAGTTATTATGCAGTGGATGCCCTTCCAGCTGCAACCCATCTCTGGGAAACATCCACACACACATTCACACACACTCATACGCTACGGACAATTTAGCCTACCCAATTCACCTTTGCCGCATGTCTTTGGACTGTGGGGGAAACCGGAGCACCCGGAGGAAACCCACGCGAAGGCAGGGAGATCATGCAAACTCCACATAGAAACGCCAACTGAGCCAAGGTTCGAACCAGCGACCTTCTTGCTGTGAGGCGACAGCACTACCTACTGCATCATTGCCTGGCCGTGCTTATGTCATGTCAGTCCAAATTAACTAAACTCGTAAATGCTGAATAGTCATTCCATATAAAACTAATAGTACTCATTTCATTACTTGAGTCATAACATACAAAAATGTTGAACTAGTTGTCAAAATCTGTCGAGGAAATTTAATAAAAAGATTTCAATCTTTATTTTCCTAAAAATGTATTCAAAATTGAACAATTTCATGAATGATTTACAGAGCTATGTATGTTGTAGGTTCAGTTCCGATATGTTCTGCAATATTGTTTACAGTTGTGCACAGCTCTACCCAAAGGCAGTTTATGTTTGTTGTAAATGCGGCTGTATTTATTTTTTTGCACAATGCTGTGAATAAATTAGGATTGTAAAGAGCAAATGCAGTAAAAATGTGAAACATACATATTCAGTGTCTTGTACTCAGATACCTCACTAATGGCTCAATGGCTGTGCTAATAGCATCTAGTGCTGTCTAGAGCATTTTCAGGAAGTGTCACCAAAATCTGACTTTTTTTGCATTGAAAAAATGTACAGAGTAAACTTTCATTTGACTATCTTGTTCATAAACAATGGTGTCTGGAGGACTTTTCATTTTGATGACTCTGACACTTTGATTGACATCAATACTTGCTTTTGAGGAATGAGCTCTCCACTTTGAGCAAGTGACACACTTTTGCAGGTTATCAAGTAGGTTTTGCAGTTTGTACTCATAGTTTTGAGAAATGCACTCACTGTTGAGGAGAAATGCACTAGTGTTGTGAGAAATGCACCAAAGCGACTGAGAAAAACTGTAATCCGGGGTCGCCACAGCGGAACGAACCAACTTATCCAGCACATTTTTTCCAGCACATTTTTTCCCTTCCATCCGCAACCCATCTCTGGGAAACATCCACACATATACACTCATACACTACAGACAATTTAGCCTACCCAATACACCTATACTGCATGTCTTTTGGACTTGGGGGGAAACCGGAGCAACCGGAGGAAACCCACGCGACCGCAGGGAGAACATGCAAACTCCACACAGAAACGCCAACTGAGCCGAGGTTCAAACCAGCGACCTTTTTGCTGTGAGGCAACAGCACTACCTATTGCGCCACTGCGTCCCCCAACTGAATATGTATGTTTCACAATTTTACTGCATTTGCTCTTTGCAAATCTAATTTATTCACAGCATTGTGCAAAAGAATAAATACACCCTTATTCACAACAAACAAACTTCCTTTGGGTAGAGCTGTGCACAACTGTAAACAATAATGCAGTACATGATGGAACTGAACCTACATCATACATAGGGCGGTAAAACATTCATCAAATTGTTCAATTTAGAAGAAACAGTCAGGGAAAAAAAGATTTAAAACATTTTATAAAGTTTGTTTGACAGATTTTGACAACATTTTTGTATGTAATGACTCAAGGAATGAAATGAGGACTATTAGTTGTATATGGAATGACTATTCAGCATTCACAAGTTTGATTAATTTTGACTGACGTGACATAAGCAAATGATAATGTTATAAAACAGTTGTATGAAAGCAATTGATGCATGTCCAAAAGCAATCGCAATGTGTTGGAAGGAATGAGAAACTGCTACTATGATGTGCACAGATGACTAATTGTTTTGACAAATGCATTAACTGTTGTGCAAATGTAAATCGTGTTGCGAGAAATGCACCAAAGCCACTGAGAAAAACTGTAAAGACCAGAATTTGAAGGTTGAAGGCTTTTGTTGCCATCTAGTGGAATCTGAAGAAATCACACAATTGGCAAAAACGCCAGGATGGGTTTAGAAAAAAGTGTGTGTGTGTGTGTGTGTGTGTGTGTGTGTGTGTGTGTGTGTGTGTGTGTGTGTGTGTGTGTGTGTGTGTGTGTGTGTGTGTGTGTGTGTGTGTGTGTGTGTGTGTGTGCGTGTGTGTGAGAGAGAGAGAGAGAGAGAGAGAGAGAGAGAGAGATCCAGCATGTCTAATTCCTGCCAAATTGTGGCTCTTAGGGATTACAGACATTTCCATTTGCAGTCGTTACATGGTACAATCCAGAATAATCCACTGACTCGTAGACAGGGAGAAACAGAAGCTCATGTGGTTCTGGGAAATTTGTTATGTGTTGTAGCTGTATGCTACACTTTAAGACATTGAAGAATCGAGTAAAATTCATTTATACATTTTCTTTTCGGCTTTGTCCTTTTATTAATTAGGGGTCGCCACAGCGGAATGAACCACCAAGTTATAATCCAGCATATGTTTTTTACGCAGCAGATGCCCTTCCGGTTGAAAACTCCAACATTGGGAAATGGGAGTGTGAGCTGTTTCCTTGTTAAAATCCATTGATACACACCATCCATAGGTTTATATATATGATTAAAATTGTTTTATATGCATTTATCTTCATCGAGAGTACTTTAGTACTTAAATTTTTATAAATTTTCACTTTTCAAAAATTTTCAAAAACAGTGCTGCTTTAAAATCATCAGATCATTCAGACCGTTATTAAGTAGAAGAAATCAGGCTTTAATTTTCTGTTGCATTGATTGTATTTAATAAGCAATAAAGTCATTTTGGGCCGGTTTGCAATGGCAATACTCCACTATTCAGACCAAGGTAGGGCCCCAAAATGATTCTGCTTAGGGCCCCAAAATTTACATGGCCGGCCCTGATTGTGATGCAGGATGTCTGTTGTCTATTTTCTACACAGCAAATATGTCAGAGAGCCAGAAGCTCGTTCCTGCCATTAAGTGTTAATAAAAAAGGGTTAGTACAACAATTGATCTCAGATTTATGGTCAGTCTCTTTGCAGTTGTGACTTTTTACCTCAGAATTCTGAATAATTTTCTCATAATTGTGAGTTTAAATCACTCAATTGTGACTTTATTTATCAGAACTGCAATTTAAAGTCTGAATTCTGACTTCATAATTCAAATTTCAAACTCATTTGCTTTATTTCTCATAATTATGACTTTATTTCTCAGAATTATGAATTTTTATCTCACAGTTAACTCAAAATTTCGAGAAAAGGTCTGAATTTAGAGTTTATATCAGGCAATTTCTGAAATAAAAAGTCACATTTTTGTTTTTTAATCAGTGGCAGAAAAGAGCTTCCACAGAGATCTCTATAATGTTCATTATTTATCCAGTT